CCTGGGCAATGTGCATGCATGCAGCATCGAATCTAGTCGTACTATGGATAAAGGATAATATCACAACATCGCAGAAGCTTCAAGCAAGGAGTTTAAGTAATTGAATGAATTGTGGCAGTCTCGAAACCAGTCTCGAACCCAACACTGTGTTCCTCCAGCCAGGCGACACCAGCATAGAGGATGACCGCGCAACGAAAACTGGGAGCGCCTGGATCTGTCGTTGCTTTAGCTCGTGATCTGTCTGGTGCACGCAGGCACGATCCACCCAAAGCGACGTTGGCCAGAAAAGGTGAACGGCATGCTGCCCGAGAAAGAACATGAGAAAAAACACGCCCACAGGCAAGTAGACCAAGACGGGCAGTAACCTTAGTAGGTACGGGTCTCAGATGCTGCGGCTTCGAATCACTTATAGCAGGAAAGGGTCAAACACGCAGCACAATCCCAAGTGTCCATGTACCTATCTAACATATACATAGACATATACATATATATATATAATATATACACACACACTTCTTTGACCCGTATACCATATAACATCATATGCCCCTACAAACCCTATAAGACTCTGAAGGGAACCCTTACCCTAAACCCCCACCCCAAAACCCTAAACCCTGAACCCTTATTGATATTATGAATAAACACGAGAAAATACTAATCATAACAAAAGTACTAATAAGAAGTAGTCATATTGCTATGGCTATACAAGGCAAATGGAGCCTTAGGGTAAATGCAGAGAAGCGATGGATTGTCTCCGAGGTTGCCAGCGCTTCCGGTACGAAAAGCCATGACTGCAGTGGCCAGCACCCATGTAATCCTGGGTTTAGGGTTTAGGGTTTAGGGTTTGGGGTTTAGGGTTTAGGGTTTAGGGTTTAGGGTTTAGGGTTTAGGGTTTAGGGTTTAGGGTTTAGGGTTTAGGGTTCTTCAAGGGTTTCAGGACTTTCGGCTGCTTTTGAGCGTTTTGTCTAGGCGTTGGAGCCAAGGAACATACTTCAAGCTCCCATAAGAAGGTGATACACTTACTACAAACATCGATCCTTCGATGGTGCGGAAAACTCAGTTCCTTCACAAGGGCCCAAGATCAAGGAGCACGCGACGGCAGCTGACAAGTTGAGATACAGGCACAGGTTCAGGTACTTCGCCCAGCGCGCAGTACCCCAGCGATGGCTCACGAAGACCTGCAGATCCACAATGGTAGGAGCACAGCAGACATCGAGCTCTCATCCATCAACCCACGCCACAGACACTGCCTCCTACCACAAGCAAGCAATGGACACACAGGCCGTTAGTATGGATAGCATCTGGGGCTTCTAGAAGGCATCTCAGGGCCACAGCCCTGCCACCACGCCTGTAAAGCCTAAAACCCTACTAGCACCGTGGATGCTAATAATTATAACTTGTAGCCCGGATTGTAGCCCTTTATGTTCACTCCCGGGGTATTGACGGTCCGGTTAGAAGGTAGTGGGGCGTCTATAGGTATGCACAACCTTGAGCCCGAAGACCTTGCGCCCCAAAGAGTCCGACAAACGGCTGCCAGCAGATCAATGTCCAGCGAGATGGATGGCTTTTCGGATGACAGCACCCCTAAACCCTACACGGTGGCATGTGTGAGTTGAATTCCTTTCCCAAACGTTCCCTCCCAAAGACCTGTCAGGACTGTAGGAACTGCGGAAAGTAGGGCCCGCAGCAATGGGGTTTAGGCTTAGGGTTTAAGTTTAGGCTATATACCCCCAAACCGAAACCCTAAACTTCCCAGTCCCAACCCCGATAGCCCTATAGCCCCGCAACCCTAGCTCCCTGGTCCAGGCAAGCGTTTAGGGCTTTGGGTTTAGGGTTTACCCTATGAAACTCTACTATATTGGACCGCCCACACACTCTTCAACATGAACAAGCGAGAATGCGGTAGAGGCACATCCACTCGCTCAGTGCAGGTTGTGGACTCGAAAATTCGAGATCCGGACTCTTGCACCTTTCCGGCAAAGATGGGCGTTGAGGGTTTGAGGCTTCCGGGGTTTAGAATGATTTAGGGTTTGGGGTTTAGAATATATGAGGTTTAGGGTTTAGGTTTTGTCATTCCCTACCATATGGAGTTTTCCCAGAGAGGGTCTTCTTGCCAGGAGGAGCAGTTATCTTCGACAAAATCGAAAAGATGCGAAAACCTCCGGCTTCAAATTTGCCGAATTTGGCTTAGGGTTTAGGGTCTAGGGTTTAGGGTTTAGGGTTTAGGGTTTAGGGTTTAGGGCTTAGGGCTTAGGGTTTAGGGTTCAGGGTGTAGGGTGTAGGGTGTAGGGTGTAGGGTGGGGTTGGTCTTCGTTTTAACATGAACTCATAGTGCCGGCGCCTTTCAACCAGCGACTTAATCGGTAGAGCCCCAAAGTCCAACCCGCAAGTGGGATATATACCAGAGGTCCACCCAGAGCCGTTAAGGTTTCAGGGGTCTTAAGCTTTAGGGTTTAGGGTTCAGGGTTTAGGGTCTAGGGTTTAGGGTTCAGGGGCCTTTCAAGTTGCGACAAACTTCCCTGTCTTCGGAATCTCGCGCTGATGGTTTGTCAGAACGGTATGAAGTCAAAGATCTTGTGCTTCTCTGCTGGGAGTTCAGTCCGACTTCAATGAGCATCGGAAATTGTAGGAGTTGAGTTGTTGGGGATTCTGCTCGAATGTTTAGGGTTGAGGGATGGTCATTCGCACCAATGAGCAGAATGGAAAAAGCGGGGTTAACGGAATGAAAACGAATGAAACGGAATGGCAACTGGAATGACGCGGAATGATCTCGAATGCTTTCACATGGCGACAACAATTCACAACCACACCTCCAAAGAAGGGGTCTTACCGTAAAAAGTATAAAGGTTTAGAGGCAGGGTGTCAGATCAGAACGCGCTTTTAGGATCACAGGTTTCCGGGTGGGGGGTTTAAGGCTTAAGGGCCTATAGGGATTTCAGAGCTGTAAGGTTCTTACAGGTTTCACATCCTCTTGTGTTGAAGAGGGGTTGTCTACTGTGTTGTCATCGAAGGCCAAATGCAGCAAAACCGAGAGACGGGCTCATGTTGAGGATTTCTGTGTTCTTGTTAAGGAACCATTTTTTAAATTTAAGCTACCACAAGAAGGAAACCCTATTATTTACTTTAGACTCCTAGTATGGCAACTTAAACTAAGCTTCTTAACAATAACCCAGTTTAAATGTTATCGGCCAAAGGATTCAGAGCGACGGGCTGTCAGGTAGGGCAACGGCAACCAGTTCATGCCACATCAACGGTAAACAGTTCATGCCGCATCCCGTTCGGTGCCTCTGAACACACCGTACAATGGCGACTTTTGTTTCAGCTTCTACAGGGCACCCCATGTAACACTCACAGAAGATGGAGGCTTGGAGAAACCATGACAACCCCAACATGTTTACTAATATTATTGTTATTATTTTTAGTATTATTAGTATTATACATATGGTCAGGACAAACAGCTCCATGTTGGACTCCAATTCAGTGGTGCCTCTTGCATTGTCGGTATCTTGTCCGGGCGGAGCCCACCCGCAGCCAAAAGACCTGCAAGCTCACTCTTCTGAATCATCCGTGCTTGACACGAGGCGGGGTACTCCAACCCAGTGAAGCCGTGTACCGCTACCGTGAGCTGCTTGGACAGAGTTGGAAGGACGGCTTCTCGTTTACAGGTAAAAACTGCATGATCCGGAGCATTCCTGAACCCGAAACGCTGCGCCGGTCTAGAACTCTGTACCCGAGATGCGGTTCGGCTTTTCTGTGGATCCAAATTTCTGAGGCTATAGGACCAGGGTTTCTGACCCGAAGCCCTAAACCCTAATGAGGCATACTTGGACCGCAAGGTTCCTCTTGCGTGAAAGGAATTGAGATAACAAAGGCTCTTCGGATTCGGTGCATAGGGGCGTTAAGTAGATTCGGCGAGGGTTGTGCTACGGCGTTGCTGATATAAAAAAAGGCTTGTAGCAGTCATAGTATCGGAAGTTCGAGAGCACCATGTCGTACATTACCTTACCAACCAGTCTCCTGTAGTACTTATGCATTCAAGCAGCGCAAAACAAAGGGAAGCCTTCTCACATGGTGGGCCACCGCGAGCCGGCCCCCGTGGCATACTATTGCTATATTATTGCTATTTTATGGAACAACAGAAAGAACAACAAAACCATCATCATCATCATCATCATCATCATTATCATGATCATCATCATCATCATCATCATCATCATCATAGTAGCAGTGATAAGACTAAATACGAATGGTAATGATCATGATATCTCCATATTTCAACCTGCCCCGCGGTTAGAGTCACCCCTTTAGTGAGCTGTATAATGTCGTGTATGATTCTTTCATCATCGACCCCTAAACCCTAAACCCCAAACCCTAAACCCTAAACCCTAAACCCTAAACCCCTAAACCCTAAACCCTAAACCCTGGAGAGCCTAAACCGATAGCAGCAAAGCTTTGGTGCACCTGGCAAGCCCTGTACGAAGAGAACTCCGCGATTGGCCAGAAGCCTCGTTGCGTTTCAGAGGAAGATTTGGTGTCTGTGGGTCTTGACATGCACAGGATCCTATGATTTAGGGTTTAGGGCCTAGGGTTTTTCGGATTTAGGGCCTAGGGGTTTAGGAAACTTTGGATTGTGTAGGGTTATATAAGGGGCATCACTTCTTCGCGCGGCCACTACTTCGAAGCTGACCTCCCTAGCCACGAAACACAGAGGGTCTTGAGCTTTTCGCGGTGCGGTTTGGTGGAGAAGGCTTACTTTGTGGGTAAGTTAAGGCATTGAAACCCTAAACCCAAAATCCTAAACCCTAAACCCTATGAACACCAACCCCAAACAACACTCGCTTAAGCACAGTGGATCTTTCTAAACCGCGACTAGGGGCGCCTCACTTGGGGGGTTTAGGATTTAGGGCTGAACCCCTTGCGGATTGCTTTTGACTTCTTAGGAAGCATGCTAACCTGTCACTTCGAGACCTCACATACTTGACACCAGGCCGCCTTTGGTCGTACAACACGAGGTCCAACCATCTCCATCAGCCCCAGTTTAAAACTTGCCGCGAGCTGACACTCCGAATTTGTCACTAGATTCTAAGCCCGATGTACATCGTGTTGCCGGCCTACAGCTGAAACACTTCGTTTCACGAAGCATCAAGTGTTTAGGGTTTAAGGTTAACGCCCGACTCCAAACCCAGTAAACCCTGGCTCAAGCAATCATGCCCAGCACCCAAAACCATCTTAAAGCCGAACTAACCCTATTGTATGCCTTCTGACGGAAAGCTTAGTAAACCCTTCTCAAAGCCCCCTAAAACCCTAAACCCTAAACCCTAAACCCTAAACCCTAAACCCTCCCGAAGCCACCTTAGGAAGCCCAGGCGCTTGGGTGCCGTCGTGGCGCGAAACAGCCCCTCTGCTTTCACATCTTCGAAAGACTCAGGTCTCCGAAGACGGCGGGCCATGGTCCACTTTTTCTTCTTTTTTAGGGGGGGGGGGGGGGGGGGGTTGGGTTTAGGGTTTAGGGTTTAGGGTTTAGGGTTTAGGGTTTAGGGTTTAGGGTTTAGGGTTTAGGGTTGAGGGTTTAGGGTTTAGGGTTTAGGGTTTAAGGTTTAGGGTTTAGGGTTTAGGGTTTAGGGCTTCAGGGTTTGAGGGTTGGTGGGTGTAAGGTTTAGGGTTATAGGGCTTACTGTACGAGTGTTTCGGGGGCTTGCGAGGGATCTTTACCACAAGAGTTCTCTAATGGTTTGGGGTACAAGGTTTAGGGTTTACCTGTGCCCCAAAGACCTATATTAACTATACTGCTTTTGGAAAAGTTACATCCCACAATCATAATAAGGAGTTGACCTTCTGGGTTTATATGCAGGGCCTAGGATGAAAATTGTTGGACTTTTCGGATGGGATTGTTTATATCTCCTTGAAAGGCTACTACAGGTCACTAGTACTAGATGAGTTCAGGGCTTAATAAGGTTTGGGGCATAAGGGCTAAAGGGTTTAGGGGGTCAGGGCCGAAGACTTAAGAAGTAGTCTGCATGTTAAATTTGTTGGCCCTTCTCGATTTGTGGGGTTAACGATTTCGGGTTAAAGGGTTAGGGTTGCAGTTTTTTCCTCATGGGACCTCACGAAACCTTTATGAGCCAGCTTGAAATGATGGCAGAATGCACTCCAAAGGCATGCCAAAGGCATGCTAAGGACATTTGGATTTCGGGCAGATCAGAATTCGGTAAGTTGGGTACTGGGGTTTAGGCTGCTGCTTGGGGTACTATAGCGAAAGGCTTTAGCTTTAGGATATTGGAATCGGCTACTAGAGATCACGGTGCTAAGGTTTAGGGCGCTTCTTTGCATAACACCTGAAGCACCTGTAGTCTCCAATGTAGTTCCTTTTTGGGGTTACCGTATAGGAGCAATCTATAAAACAAGTTAAACCAAAGAAAGGAACTACAATGGAGACCATAGGTCCAGGAGATGTCACATAAGCACTCACCGGTCCTAAGGAGTCCCATAGGGTTGAAAAGGTTTAGGGTTTAGGATGTAGGGTTTAAGGTTTAGGGTTCAGGGTTTGGGGTGCAGGGTTTAGGGTAAAAAAAAAACCTAAACCCTAAACCCTAAACTCTAAACTGAAAACCCTAAACCCTAAACCCTAAACCCTAAACCCCAAATCCGAACCCTAAACCCGAAACCCCGAGCAGTCCGCCTCCATAAACCCGAAACCAATAGCCGAAGTCCTGAATCCCCAGAATTGATCCCAGCCCTGAACGGTTAGACCCACGGGGCGAACAAGGGAACCCGTCGTTGCTGAGTTCACAAGCCCTTTTTGGACACTTTCAATTCAGTAGGGTATATTAGTATCCCGTAAAGTGCCCTAAACCCTAAACCCTAAACCCTAAACCCTAAACCTACTAAGAACCGGTCCAGGATCTTCCCAGCAATTGCACATTCACAGGATGTACCCGGCAAATCAGGTCGCCGGCGTTCGGCTGCATGAGCGTTTAGGGTTTAGGGTTTAGGAGTTTAGGGGTTTAGGGGTTTAGGGGTTTAGGGGTTTAGGGGTTTAGGGGTTTACGGGTTTAGGGGTTTAGGGGTTTAGGGTTTCGGGTTTAGGGTTTAGGGTTTCGGGTTTAGGGTTTAGGGTTTAGGGTGTAGGGTTTAGGGTTTAAGGGCTTTAGGGTTTAGGGTTTGAGGGTTTGAGGGTTTTAGGGCGCCTTTATCCGGGCCATCCACCTGCGTGACCTTCATGACTACCATCTGGCTGCTGGCATCTTTGCCTCATTCGGCCTTTCTTCAGACTCTTTAGGGTTTAGGGCTTAGGGTTTAGGGTTTAGGGTTTAGGGTTTAAGGGGAGGGAGGGAGAGAGAGAGAGAGAGAGAGAGAGAGAGAGAGAGAGAGAGAGATAAGCGACCTCTGCGGGAGCAGGGCCACGCCTAAGGCGCCATCCCTCCTGGCTTCGCAGGGGGCTCCGATGAACGTCATCGCCCCCTCCACTTGGAGTTCAGACGGGCGGAGCGCCCCGGTCTCCGTAAACGTCATTGCCCGGCAAGGGGGAGGGAGGGGAGGGAGGGAGGGGAGCGGGGGAGGGAGGGGAGCGCGCAGTCGGCGAAGACTGACCGAACGTAAGCACCCCGGATCGAGCGTACCTGGCTGCTATGAGCTCGATGGATGTCGGAGCGAATCCCATTCACGGCCAGCATGCCCTCTTTTCTATAGCCGAAGAAGCAACTGGGGGTCGCGGTAATTCAAATGCCCCTCAGTGTCTAGCAGCACCACCGCCCTATCCAGCACCTCACTGACATCATCCTCCCGAAGATTTGGACGGCCTGCCTGCTGAAGGTGTTGCACCAGGGCAGATCGGAGGAGATCGATAGTCATGGGAATGTCCTAAACGGCGCAGCGAGGCCCTGCAAGTGGTCGTGGAGAGGCCCAGGAGGGAGATCCTGTCTGGGAAGTCTGGGGCAAGCACTCAAAGATGATACGAAGGACCAGAGACAGTCCGGACACATGGGACCCCTAGTCATGGCGGCGGGCAGGTAGCTGGGACGGATGCCACAGTTCCATGCCGGGCAGGCTCCACGCCGATGAAGGGCCGTGCCGCACACCATACAGGCATCATCTTCGTCTGTGCACCTTCGGCACCACGGACAGGGGTGCACCTGCGGCCGGCGGGGAGAGAATCTCACTAAATATCCGGCCATGCCGCTTCGGCGTTGTGTGGGCAGTCGCACGGAGGAAGCTGGAGCAGCTGGACGAGCGCTGACCAAAGCGGCATCTCAGGACCCCACGCAGACCCGCCACCAAAAAAAGTACTCCGGCCGCTTGAAGGGCAGCTCTGGTGAGAGCATCCCGTGCACCTTCCTGTCGGATTCGAGCGGTGGCAGCTTCTTCAGGCCCTTTTCCACTCCGATTTCGCGCGCTTCTTCCTCAGGACGATAAATGCATAGCTGGTCCCCTTGGTGATGCACTAGGCTGACCACTCTTCGGAGGTCCGAACCCAAGACATACCTCAGCAAGGCCGCCGGCACGGCAATGCCCCCGAGCCGTGCGTCCACGGGCCCCCTGAGCAAGACGGGCGTCCTAGTCTTTCATGCCAAGCAACTGCTAACACTGCTCCAGTATACGAGCCCGCCGAGAAACCTCTCAACCTCACGTTGCATTTCCCTGCCCCTGCTGCAGCGATGGCGATGTGCAAGGCGGTGACGGCCACGCAATGCGGCATGTGCAAGTGGGCCAGGGCCGGTCCCATTGCTAGTGTCGCCTCAACCGCATCGATGCGCGCCTTCACTACGGCAGGCAGTGAGCTCCCGTGAGGACAAGGGAATAGGACGTCGGCCCAAGCTTGTCTCGCCTGAAATAGGAGTAGGAGGGCATGCGATGCGTTACCACGAATTGACAGCAGCTAGGGCCGTTTGGTGTTTTCGAAGCGTATTGGCTTGGCATTCGGGTCCACAAGCGTCTCCATCTCCAGGCCCGAGAGGCCATACGAGTTGGCTACATGCAATATGCTGCCAGTTACACCGACCGGAGCAGGACTGCTCCGACCCATCATGCCGCTGACAAAGACACATCGACTCTGCCCCGGCTGGCACTGACGTGGAGGGCTTGGCCGCTCCTCGTATGGCTGGAAAGCGAAAGCCATAACGGCAGCCTGCACCCGCGAGGAAAAGACATCCCCCCAGCACGCTGACAGCGTAACAGTTGTCTCTGCGGCAAAAAGCAGGTGCAGAAGGAGTGGGCTGCACATGCGAGCGAAGCAAGCTGTCCAGTGGGCATGCGGTTTTCCAGGCAATTTCGCGGGCGTAACACCCCAGCATCGCCCAAGCAAACACAAATTCAGAATGTCGCTGCGCAGTGATGCCGGCCAGGGGGGTATTGCGCAGACACTGCAAGTAATGGACCTTATCCCTCGTTACTTCTAAGTGAGTGCCGGGACGAATAGGCTGTCTTTCTTCCAGGGACATCATCCTGCTGAACGCGCGGCTGATCGTCCCTTCCACATGGGTAACCATCTGTTCAACTCCGTCCCCGAAGGCAAAGATTGGCTGGCCAGTCTGGCCTGGCTCAGGTCTGTCAGGGAAGAAGAGGACTAATCCCCCATTCGCCTCAAGCTGTTCTTCCGAGACACAAGCTACCCCGATCGTCTCAGGCAGCCTGGCACCTGTGGGAACATACCCACTCCACGGAGACGCAGGGACACGGCTCAACGAGGCCGAGGCACAGGACTGCGCCTCCTCCACCTGCATTTGGCCGAGCGGTTCAAGTGGGCATCACTGGGAAGCACGTCAACCACTGCAAGGCGTCGCAATTCCTCCGGTGAAAAGCGTGTCATGATCCAGTAAGACAAGAGCGGCGCCTGGCGCTAACACTCGAAGGGTACCCAGAATTTCTGGGCCAGCCCACGTGTAATGTACGCGATTCAGACCCGCCTCGCGCGTGTTAACCAAGATGGGATGCCACTTCTCGCCAATGTGTCCCTGCCACTGCATGCGTGCAATCAAACGGCGCACGAAGAAGGGGAAGTGCGGGATTTGCAGAAAAAAGAGACGGTGGCATCCCCCTTTTTGGCGTCTTCAAGCTGCGGCAGGAGGCGCGCTAGCAGGGCTCGGTAATCGACCGCCGCGCGCAGACCGGCGGGCCCAGGCGGGTCACTGAGGGCTGATCCGGTTAGTGGAGGAAGAGGAAAGACGTGTTCAGGCATAGGTGTTGGGAAGGTTTGATGCATCTCCAGCGCCAGGGCGAGGTCCGGTGGCCGTTCAGCATGAACCGGAGCAGCCACTGCATTCCTTTCCTCGAGCCGCCTCTTTGCCTGCTGCGCGTCTCACTGATCAAAATCTTGGGCGGTGGGATCGGGCGTTCTGCCCACGGGGGAGGGTCCTCACTGGGCGCGAGCAGGCTTACCTCTTCTACCCTTGGATATGAGGAAACTCCAGCAGCCTGCTTGTGCACTGGAGCATTTAGATCGGGCCTTGCCGCCGTATCTGAGGCGCAGGGTAGCCTGCCCGATGCGCTGCAACAGGCTGAAGGGGCCGAGGGGGCAATTCATGGGGATAAGGGGCAGGGGTCAGGGGAGGACTGCAGTCATCCTGACCCCTTGCGGAGATGCCCCGGCCGACCATGGCGGAGTGCCGAGCCCAGGCGGTGGAAACGCCTGTTCGCTCTCAAAAGCGGCAAAGGCAGCCCCAACAGCCCCAAAATTGATGTTCCTGCACTCAGCAGCGTGCAGCAGGTAGCAGCGAACTGGTGCATCCTGTGAAAAGCAAATGGTATTTGTCTCCCTTAGGTACGTTGCCCATCGCTCATTGAGGAGCCCATGATAGGCCGAGGGGAAGAGAGCTTCCCAGCCCTGAATGTCCGCGCTTTGCCACTGCCACAGTGAGGATATGGGAGCCCACCTGGATTCTTAGATAGCCGCAGGACCTGAAACTCATAGCATGACCTCAGCAAGGGCAAGCAAGACCAATACACCAGCTCATACCAGGGCCCAAGAGGAAGCAAACAGTGAGAACCCCAGGGAGAAAACCCACCTAGTTCACTACTCTCTACGTGTTTGAACCGATGGCTGCGGGCAGAAGTTGCAAACCGTACTCAAGCCGAGCTTGCAGTCATGTCGCATGTCACTTAAGGTGCATGGAGCGCGACAGACAGTGCTCCTAGCTCGCAGGACTTCTCTAAATAACAAACTCTTCCATTGGTGCCGCACTCGCGCAGGCACGTCTGATTCTTGTGGGAACTGTATGGTGATGGTATAGTGCCTTGCTTGGGAAGTGTGGCCCATAACTTTGTCACAACAAGTTCGATGTTCCAGGCATGGCCTTGCAGGGCCATGGCGATTGCGGCGCTCCACTTTCTTACATGGCGGCAAGCTGAGGCTTCATGCTTCAGGACGGGGGGTTGAGGGATTCTGGCCCACTCCAACATCTCTCAGGTGTGTTTCGGGGGAAGATGAAACTGAGCAAAGCGGGGCTCGGGCTTGAGAGTGTGTCGGACCTACGGAGCTGTAAGGCCGAAGGCCGTTTGCAGTTGCAAGTGATGCTTCAAGGCTTGAAGAATTGTTCAGTCGATCCAGCATTCACCAGTACCGTCTTAAATAGCCCCCAATCCAACCACCAATGTGGAGCGCCGACTGCTCAACAAGCTGCTAAAGCCTACTTAGCTCGAACCCCATGCGCGGGTTCCAACGTCGTATCGATCGCGACTTTGCGACATAATTGTCGAAGAATGCGAGGCGACTTTGCGACATAGTTGTCGAAGAATGCAGGCTGGCATTGTGCTTTGCTAGGGGCTGCTTTGATGTGTGCGGTCAGCAAGCTGTTTGAAAAAAATGCACGCGCACTGACTTTTTTGGCAGCTGCTTTGCAGTCCGTCCATTCCTTTGTACAACACGAGGCCTGACGAAACGTGCCCTGCTTTTCTTGCAGGGTCTGATATCCAAGGTCTGCGCAAGTCCGCATGTGGAAACCACAGACTCACATTCTGTAAAGCTGGACCGTAGTCCTAAAGCAATCCCGAGTCGATATGAAGCACATTAGCCCGCACGCACTCTCGAATCAACCTGAAACCGAACGCCAAAACAAGACCAAGCTCCGTTCCATGTCGGGCATCATGCAACTTGCCAGGCTTGAGTTCGTTCTTGGTAAGTGCAAGTAGCCAAAGATGGAGCTACATTAAATGACATATGCCAAGCCCGACCCAAGCACGCTTTGCAGGGGCAGCGCTGCCAATTCAAACACGCCGGAAAAGTCGCTCTGGGACGTCAACGTGTGCTAGAAGAGCTGGCCACACCCCGTCGCTCAGCTGCTCCCACGCTTCGGCAGGGATGCGGTCGCAAAGATTCATGTTGAGCGCCTGGCACTGAGGGGCGAAGAAAGCGATGCACCGAACTCCCCCCCCAGAGGCGCAGCGGCCTCCGGGTTCCAAAGGGCTGGGAGGTGCTTATATACGAAACGGCTCAAAGAGGGCACCCCCCACACACACACCGACTCGAAACGGCCTCAACTACGGAAGGTCTCGTTTGGAATTGAGTTTCTTTTACCAGTCAAGGTTCCGGTGTTGCAGTGCTTCGACTTCGTCATGAACGTGTAGTTACCATTGCCAAAATCGAAAACTTCCTCTTAAGCAGCTAAAAGGCCTGATCGACGCAAGTCGAGTTAAGGGCCAAGTCTGAATCCAAAGGCTTGAAGAAGACCTTTGCCGTGTTCTGTCCTGCATCTCGCTGCACCGCGCCAACGCGGAGAGGAGGACGTGGGCCCCCTCTGCGCCCTGGGCGCCATCGCCGAAACACCTGGGCCGGCGGTTCTTCCAGGTAGGAAAGCCCCCATGTGGACGGGGACAGCCAACGCGGCGCCACTCTCCACATAAAGAAAGCAGGGAAGCCGAAATCGTCCCCGCCCCCCCTCTTCCGAGGAACCCGTAGAAGTTGGCGCTCTTCAGCTTCTCCCACCGCGCGTCCCGGAGCTGCCGCCAGGCCTCCGCGGGGACTTTCTCGCATTCGGCCATGTGCAGCTCCTGGCAGGTGCCGGGTGCCCCGGAGGTGCATGCGGGGGGAATGGGTCGCGCATGCGGGTCTCGTCTCCGGGGGTGGCGCTCTGAGTCGGCGAGGGCTCGTTTGGGGGGAAAAAGCGGGTCGAAGATGGTTACACTACAGATGGCTTAAGAACGTAGCTGCGCAAACGCCGAGGGGGAATCCTCCTCCATCGCCCCAAAGGCCTGAAAAGCCTGGAGGGAGCTCTGTGAGAAGAGCTTAGGGTGCCGAGGCTGAATCCACAAAGCGTTGTAACCGAGCTTGGGAGTTTGGGAGTTAATGCAGGTTGCAGATGAGGTGCGCCACCGTGGACGGTTCAAGGGATTCGTGCTGAGGGTTGAGGGTTGAGGGTATGGGGTTTAAGGGCCCACCAAACTCTTCAGACAGCAGGTGTCGTGTCAAAATGACCCTCCGATTGATTCCGATGCCCTACACAATACCCATAACCCCAGCTCGCACTATAGCCCCATAACCCGTTTTAGGGTTTAGGATCTTCATCACGATGCGAGTTGCGATTCTATAGGGGGCCGGGCTTTAAAGCGTCGTATTAGATGTCGATCATTACAACCCCGAGCTTCCTTGCACTATAGGCCCGAGAGACAGCCAGCAGTATCACTAAGACCTTGGAAGTAGCCTCTCGTCTCTCCTTCACAAACAACCTAGGATTATCAATTCTTGTTTCGAACTTGGAACAGGGCCCTCTCGGGACCCTAGAGCTGACATGTTTTAGAGTCTGGGCATACAGGGCATTATGCCATCAGGACCTTGGACCTCTCTTTGCTCGGCGTGTGTCCTGGAGCTGGCTGCACCGCGCCAACGCGGACAGGAGGCCGCGGGCCCCCTCTGCGCCCTAGGAGCCATCGTTGAAACACCTGGGCCGGCGGTTCTTACAGGTGGTAAAGGCCCCATTGTGGACGGGGGACAGCCAACGCGGCGCCACCTCTACGCATACAGAGAGCAAGGAAGCCGAAAACGTCCCCCCCCTCTTCCGAGGCACCGATAGAAGTGGGCGCTCTTCAGCTTCTCCCAGCGCGCGTCCCGGAGCTGCCGCCAGGCCTCCGCGGGGACTTTCTCGCAGTAGCCCATCTCCAGCTCCTGGCGGGTTTCCGGGTGCCCCACAGGGGAGGTGCACGCGGGGGGAATGGGTCGCGCATGCGGGGTCTCGTTTTGGGGGTGGCGCTCTGAGTCTGCGAGGGCTCGTTTGACCCTGCAAAGAGCCGAGGGGGAATCCCCCTCCATCGCAGAGCAGGTTTCGTGTCAAAATGACCCTCCGATTGATTCCGATGCCCTACACAATACCCATAACCCCAGCTCGCCCGATAGCCCCATAACCCCAGAACCCCGTAACCGTATAGCCATACAAACCAAAACTCTCAACCCTAAACCCTACACCCTAAACACTATAAACCCTAAACCCAGAAACCAAAACTCTCAACCATGGTCTCCAAGGGAATCTTGAGGGGTCCTAGAGCAGTAGCATGTCACAGGAACTTCTTCAACCCCTGGCTCAGGGGTTTTAGGGTTTTAGGGTTTAGGGTTTAGGGTTTTAGGGTTTAGGCTTTAGGGTTTAGGGTTTTAGGGTTTTAGGGTTTTAGGGTTTAGGATCTTCATCACGACGCGAGTTGCGATTCTATAGGGGGCCGGGATTTAAAGCGTCGTATTAGATGTCGGTCATTACAACCCCGAGCTTCCTTGCACTATAGGCCCGAGAGACAGCCAGCAGTATCTCTAAGATCTTGGAAGTAGCCTCCGGGCTTTGCGTTCTCGAACAGCTTAGTCTTGCTGAGCAAGATGTTCACCGACAGGTCTGCACCGGCCCTGCTGGGGAAACAGCTCACACCCTACTTCTGAGGGCGTTGCAAGGACAAACAACACAAGGGGAGCAGTAGGAGCACAGAAGGGGCCCCCCGAGTTGACTTGAAAGCCAGCGCCTACTTCTGAGGGCGGCGCAAGAGAACAAACCTAAGAGAGTAGCCTCTCGTCTCTCCTTCACAAACAACCTAGGATTATCAATTCTTGTTTCGAACTTGCAATCCGCGAGCTCCTTTAGAACAGGACCCTTTCGGGACCCTAGAGCTGATATGCTTAAGAGTCTGGGCATGCAGGGCCTTTTGCCATCAGGACCGTGGACCTCCCTTTGCTCGGCGTGTGTCCTGGAGCTGGCTGCACCGCGCCAATGCCGAGAGGAGGCCGCCGGCCCCCTCTGCGCCCTGGGAGTCTTCGTCGAAACACCTGGGCCGGCGGTTCTTGCAGGTGGTAAAGGCCCCACATGGTGCGGAGGGGGGACAGCGGACGCGGCGCCACTCTCTACAAAGAAAAGCAGGGAAGCCGAAAGGTCCCCTTCCGAGGCACCGCTCGAAGTCGGCCTTCCTCAGCTTCTCCCAGCGCGCGTCCCTGAGCTGCCGCCAGGCCTCTGCGGGGACTTTGTTGCAGAATTGCATGCGCAGCTCCTGGCAGGTGCCGGGTGCCCCGGAGGTGCATGCGGGGGGAATGGGTCGCGCATGCGGGTCTCGTCTCCGGGGGTGGCGCTCTGAGTCGGCGAGGGCTCGTTTGGGGGGAAAAAGCGGGTCGAAGATGGTTACACTACAGATGGCTTAAGAACGTAGCTGCGCAAACGCCGAGGGGGAATCCTCCTCCATCGCCCCAAAGGCCTGAAAAGCCTGGAGGGAGCTCTGTGAGAAGAGCTTAGGGTGCCGAGGCTGAATCCACAAAGCGTTGTAACCGAGCTTGGGAGTTTGGGAGTTAATGCAGGTTGCAGATGAGGTGCGCCACCGTGGATGGATCAAGGGATTCGTGCTGAGGGTTGAGGGTTGAGGGTATGGGGTTTAGGGGCCCACCAAACTCTTCAGACAGCAGGTGTCGTGTCAAAATGACCCTCCGATTGATTCCGATGCCCTACACAATACCCATAACCCCAGCTCGCACTATAGCCCCATAACCCGTTTTAGGGTTTAGGATCTTCATCACGATGCGAGTTGCGATTCTATAGGGGTCCGGGATTTAAAGCGTCGTATTAGATGTCGGTCATTACAACCCCGAGCTTCCTTGCACTATAGGCCCGAGAGACAGCCAGCAGTATCTCTAAGATCTTGGAAGTAGCCTCCGGGCTTTGCGTTCTCGAACAGCTTAGTCTTGCTGAGCAAGATGTTCACCAACAGGTCTGCACCGGCCCTGCTGGGGAAACAGCTCACACCCTACTTCTGAGGGCGTTGCAAGGACAAACAACACAAGGGGAGCAGTAGGAGCACAGAAGGGGCCCCCCGAGTTGACTTGAAAGCCAGCGCCTACTTCTGAGGGCGGCGCAAGAGAACAAACCTAAGAGAGTAGCCTCTCGTCTCTCCTTCACAAACAACCTAGGATTATCAATTCTTGTTTCGAACTTGCAATCCGCGAGCTCCTTTAGAACAGGACCCTTTCGGGACCCTAGAGCTGATATGCTTAAGAGTCTGGGCATGCAGGGCCTTTTGCCATCAGGACCGTGGACCTCCCTTTGCTCGGCGTGTGTCCTGGAGCTGGCTGCACCGCGCCAATGCCGAGAGGAGGCCGCCGGCCCCCTCTGCGCCCTGGGAGTCTTCGTCGAAACACCTGGGCCGGCGGTTCTTGCAGGTGGTAAAGGCCCCACATGGTGCGGAGGGGGGACAGCGGACGCGGCGCCACTCTCTACAAAGAAAAGCAGGGAAGCCGAAAGGTCCCCTTCCGAGGCACCGCTCGAAGTCGGCCTTCCTCAGCTTCTCCCAGCGCGCGTCCCTGAGCTGCCGCCAGGCCTCTGCGGGGACTTTGTTGCAGAATTGCATGCGCAGCTCCTGGCAGGTGCCGGGTGCCCCGGAGGTGCATGCGGGGGGAATGGGTCGCGCATGCGGGTCTCGTCTCCGGGGGTGGCGCTCTGAGTCGGCGAGGGCTCGTTTGGGGGGAAAAAGCGGGTCGAAGATGGTTACACTACAGATGGCTTAAGAACGTAGCTGCGCAAACGCCGAGGGGGAATCCTCCTCCATCGCCCCAAAGGCCTGAAAAGCCTGGAGGGAGCTCTGTGAGAAGAGCTTAGGGTGCCGAGGCTGAATCCACAAAGCGTTGTAACCGAGCTTGGGAGTTTGGGAGTTAATGCAGGTTGCAGATGAGGTGCGCCACCGTGGATGGATCAAGGGATTCGTGCTGAGGGTTGAGGGTTGAGGGTATGGGGTTTAGGGGCCCACCAAACTCTACAGAGAGCAGGTTTCGTCTCAAAACGACCCTCCGATTGATTCCGATGCCCTACACAATACCTATAACCTCAACCCTAAACCCAAAACACAATAAACCCTAAACCTAGAAACCAAAACTCTCAACCATGGTCTCCAAGGGAATCTTGAGGGGTCCTAGAGCAGTAGCATGTCACAGGAACTTCTTCAACCCCCGGCTCAGGGGTTTTAGGGTTTTAGGGTTTTAGGGTTTAGGGTTTTAGGGTTTAGGCGATAGGGTTTAGGGCTTTAGGGAGTTAGGGTTTAGGATCTTCATCACGATGCGAGTTGCGATTCTATTGGGGGCCGGGATTTAAAGTGTCGTACTAGATGTCGGTCATTACAACCCCGAGCTTCCTTGCACTATAGGCCTATAGGCCCGAGAGTCATCCAGCAGCATCACTAAGACCTTGGAAGTAGCCTCTCGTCTCTCCTTCAAAAACAACCTAGGATTATCAATTCTTGTTTCGAACTTGCAATCCGCGAGCTCCTTTAGAACAGGGCCCTTTCGGGACCCTAGAGCTGATATGTTTAAGAGTCTGGGCATGCAAGGCCTTTTGCCATCAGGACCGTAGACCTCCCTTTGCTCGGCGTGTGTCCTGGAGCTGGCTGCACCGCGCCAACGCGGAGAGGAGGCCGCCGGCCCCCTCTGAGCCCTGGGAGTCTTCGTTGAAACACCTGGGCCGGCGGTTCTTGCAGGTGGTAAAGGCCCCATTATGGACGGGGGCCAGCCGACGCGGCGCCACCTCTCAACATAAAGAAAGCAGGGAAGCCGAAAACAATCCCCCCCCCCTTCCGAGGCACAGAGAGAAGGTGGCCGTCTGCAGCTTCTCCCAGCGCGCGCCCCTGAGCTGCCGCCAGGCCGCCGCGGGGACTTTGTTGCAGAACTCCATGTGCAGCTCCTGGCGGGTTCCGGGTGCCCCATAAGGGGGCGGGGAGGTGCAGCGGGGGAATGGGTTGTGTGCGGGTCTCGGGGTGGCGCTCGCTCCTTGTTGGGGGAAAAGCGGGTCGAAGAGGGATATATTTACGAAAGAAGACTGGAGGGAGGGAGCGAGATGACCTCATCCCCTCCAAAAAAGAAACGTCTACCTTTTGGGCTTTTGTGCTGCCCATGTCTCAGATCACGGCTTCTCGCCTCGCCGACGCCGAAACGGAGCAGGATCAGCAACTCCTCGAGTAGTTCCCCGCGTGCAGCAGCTCCGGCAGCTTTCTTGACGTCACCTCGGCAGCAGCTCGGCAGGGGACTCTGTTGGGGGGCTTCTGGGAGCTTTGCTTCCTGCCTACCGCGAGCTGAGCTGCAGGCCTCCACACCGCATCACTCTTTTGCTTTCCTGGGCCCGGTGAAAAAGTTTATGCGACCTCCATGGTTTCCACACACGAGATTTTGCGGCGCCTGCACCACGAACGCGCGCGCTTCATCGGGATAGGGGAGCCCCGGCGCTGCAAAGTTCTTCAGCGCTGCCAATGCAGAGGGCGCATCGAATCTGTCGGCGCGAAAAGCTTCTTTGACCTGGCAGGACCAGCAATCACCCACCGCGTTCAGGGTATACGCTGTTGGGATGCCGTTGGCGATGCGACCGTCAGAAAAAGCTGCGCATGGATTTGCTGGCTCCGTTGTGGGATCCTTCGCGCCCACAATGCACCCATGGCGCTACGCATGTGCACTCTGCCAATGATGTTTCTGGGAAAAGAACTGAACACAGAAAAGAAACCGCTGCCACGACAACTTGAGCAGGGCTCTGGAGGATCCAACATATCAGGTCTCCCAGCCTATCGTGTCTGGAGTCAAGGCTTACCACTCCCCCATGCCCGTTTTTAGGGCTGAGCCTCCAGGCACCGCTTTTGGGTGCCTTCCAAGGCTTCAGAAACACTCCCCACCGGACTTGCCAGCCACATCTCTTAACCCCATACTCTTCACTTTCTTGTAGGGTTCAGGGCTTCCGCACCTTAGGCCTTGCCAGCCAACATCCCCCTTTCATCCCCCTTTCGAGGGCTCAGTTTTTTGGGCCTTGTCAGCCAACGGTCAGGTCCCAACGTCCATATCCTGTTCGGTGTCAGCATCTCATGTATATAGGGTTTCGAGATGCTTAGAGGGCTTGCCAGCCAACATCTCCTTTGGCGGGGGTCTCATAGCATCCCCTGTTCTTCTCTCTTTGGCGCTGGCATCAGGGGTTCCATCAGAGGTGTCTGGGTTTCTAAACAGGGACACCGCCTCGAGGTTCCAGAAATGGCTCTTTGCAAGCTCTCTGTTACGTCCAGGCCCCAGGACTGGTTCAGAGTGGACAACAGGACATTGACCCTGCGCCCAGTGCAGCTTCCGAAATTGGGAGTCTTCAGCCCAAGAGCAAGCAATTGGAGCTCTGGGTCTCACCTGGAGATGCCTTTCCCTACGCCGCCGCCGCTGCTGTTGCTGCTGTCTAATTACAAAAAAGCTGCATGTTGCAACCACCACCCTGACAACAACAGGCGGTGCACAGGGACAATGCGCAGGTCCGCTGCAAGAGCAAAATAAAAGTTCGCTGCGAGCCTTCTGCCAACTCTCTGCTTCCTCATCGAAAGGCTCCCGGGGCTGCTCCTGTGCAGGTCTGCCATGAAGCTGAAGCTGCGGCAGGCACCGGGATTCTCCATACTTCAACTTCGCCCTTCCATCGTGGATAAGCTCGTGGGCATCTCGGAGCATGCGCCGGCTGAGTGTGGTGTGTAGCTGCGTAGACTCTGCACGGCCGCATGCCCCGCGCAACACGCCTGGTTGATCCGACCCGACGCGACCCTTTCCCGTGAAGTTCCCCCTCCCCCACGCGCTGTGACCCCCGGGATTGGGGCTTGCGGCTTGGAAGACTGGCAAAAACTTGCGGTACCCTCAGCATGAAACCTCCAACTCCTACGCACGGAAACATCCATGCGAAAAAGAGGACGACACCTCCAAACACCCGATAACGGAACGGAAGGCGCAAGCACAGAACAAAGAGGCACAAGGATGGCGCACGCAACAAGGCAGTCTCCAGTCCTGGGGCATCGGGTCGAGAAGGAACTCTTCGGAATTGACCGGAACTCGGCTCTCCTGGATGTCCCAAAGACGAGACATCATCGGACACACTGTGGGATATTCTGACGAGGCCTTCCACCAGGTCCGCATGTACTTACTTGCGCTGCGAGGGACACCACGGCAAGGCTATAAGCTTGGCTGAGCGGCTTAGCGGCTTAGCGGCTTAGCGGCTTAGCGGCTCTTTAGTGCTTAGGGTTTGGGATCTATCCCAAACAATGCGCCCTCAAGCGGCACAGCAGACCGCCAGTCCTCGGCGAATGGGTCGAACATGGGCTTCCGGGCGTGAGCCGAAACCGTGTTGCTTCTGGTGTCCCAGATGCTGGACTCGTGCTGTGGCGTCGTCTCCGAGTCTCCTGTCAACTCAGACTCCCTTTCGGCTGCGCTGGTGCTGCGTGTCTGCGGCTGAGATATGGCTGGATCGGCCTTCTTGCCAGCTGCGTTTGTACCTCTTGTCTCTGGCTGAGACCTTTCTACGTGAGAGTTCTCCTTCTTCAGATCCGCCTGCCTTTCATCCGGAATGCTTGGCTGCGGCCTGGCCTCCTCTCTGCTTCTTGGCTCCTCTTCCTGTGCGGCACTGCCCATGCCGTCCTTTGCTTCTTGGCAGATCTTCGCTGCGGCCTGTGAGCCGTACTTCGATGCCTCCTCTTCGGAAAGCTCTTTGCCAGAGTACCGAATGTTGGTGAGGAAGTCAAACCAGCCATTCTGCACGCGCTTGTTCACCACGATGGCCATCAGCTGGGCCCGCGAGATGCCTTTGTAAAGGTTTGCGCGCGTCACGAGATCCCTGGCACCTCGGCGAATTGGGGCATCCAGCCCGACACAGATGACGATGAGCTTCTCCAGGCCATCTGTGACGCTCACGGTGTCCAAGACGAGGTGCTCCGACCGCTGCTCGGGCTTCTGCACAGTGACAGGCTGACCGCAGAGGGTCCGAAACAGCTCCGGCAAGGAGCGCAAGGACTCCTTGAAGGAGATGAACTGAAGGTGGCGATCTGGAAGCTTGCTCTTCAAGACAGGCGCCAAGGCCGTCTTCAACTGCACGAGAAACTCCTGATCCGGGACTAGCAGCGCGAGTCGCTGGTGGAGACTGATGTTGGGATATGCATCTGCAACGTGCGCAATGGCATCTGCGACGTGCTGGGCGTAGAGTTCAAACTCACCTTTGGCGTCCGAGCCATCGAAGAGGAATGACTTCAAGGGTGGCCCATCTGTGCCAATGGATGTGACCGCCCCGGTCTGAGATCGAAAGGACTTTGCCCCCAGCACGATCTGCCTCGTGCTTCGGACGACCTCCATGAGGCTCGCCTTGTGCATTTTGGGGAATCTGGTGTTCACGGTTGCAGCTTGGGACTCGTCGGATAAAAGGAGCTTCCTGCGGCTCTTGAGATCTCCCAGAATGCCATAGTCCACACCCTCTGCGAAGAGGGTGTGGCCTTCGTCAACGACTTGGAGTGCAAACGTGTCAATGCTGCCTGCAACTTTCAGAGCGACGCATCGATCCTTCTCATCCAGCATCGGCGAAAGCAATTCCTGGTAAGGGCTGTGCAGGACCACCAGGCGCTGTAGAAGCTGATTGATATCGGTCACAAGCCGGGACGCCGCTTGCGACGCCAGCCGCACAACTATCCACTGTATGAAGTGGTAGATGAGCTCTACTGTGGGAGCCACATAGAGTACATGAGCAGGAGGCTCTTCCGTCTTGTCGGTGAGAACGTCGACGACACGCTGCACTGCCACAAAAGTCTTGCCGGCCCCTGCTGGAGCTGACAGGTGCACCTCGTCAAATCGTTGGATGTGCTGAAGATGCTTTTGTTGGTGTGGCGTGAGGTCCTTGAGGGCCAGCAACGTGTGCTCGTAGAACTCCAAGAAGTGCCCATTGTCTACTTCAACGTGCCAATCTGACAGACCTGCGGTGATGTCCTCCTCCAGTTTCCCACTGAAGAAGCGATCCCTGAGGTGATGCAAGGAGCCGATGGTTGGCACCCCAAGGTTTATCATCAAGACAGAAACGTCGGACCCGAGCCGAGACGTGCAGACATCCAGCACGCTAACACGCTCAAGGCACTCAGTGAAAATCTCCCGGAGCTTCAGATGACCTTAACTTGACATGGGTTGTCTGGAAGCAGAGTCGTGAGAATTATGGACAACGACCCTGATTCACACATTCACGCTGTTTGGCGTTCCCAAGCATTGACCCCATGATGTGTCAGTGCTTATCCTACGGCCTAAGCTGTGAGATGTTATGGCAAAGAAAGCTGGAGCTTCGAGCCTACAAGCCGCTTGACTCGTTCTTAGGGCCCCCGCCAAAATGGTCCAACAACTCCTTTGTAGCCAGAGATGTGTCGCAGACGAATTTAGAGCGAAAGGTGTCGTCACCATGCTCGCATCGAATGGTCCAGCCATCCTCTTGCCTCGTAGTCTTCTCTTTCACGACTCCTCGGCGCCATAACTTTGTCGCCTCGCACCATGCATCCACCGGATAGCCTGCTGGAAAATCCTGTTTGAGGCCATGCTCGTCCACGCGATGGTATTGCCAGGCCAGCTCCTCTTTGTCCTGTCCCTTCTGAATGGCTGCAACCGCCTCACGGACATATTCAAGATACCTTTTCTGCCAGCTGCACCCCCAGACCATCCTTTGGCCGTAAAGCTTGTAGCAGAAGCACTTGCCTTCGTTCTCGGGATCCCTGGGGTGCTTGTCATAGCCTCAGCTAGCAGAATGCATCACAGGGTTTGCAGAGGCCCATGACCCTGCAAAGGATGTTCTCAGAGCACTCGGCATGCTCGTGCATGCTCTTACGTCTGGAAGGGCAGGGAGGTGATCAAAGTTGGAGTGAGCCTAAAGTTGTCCACGGATTGCACACTTTTCACTCTCCGCGGCGGGCCACCATGAGCCCTTGAGGGAAAGTGGAGCAGAGGCAGAAAGCAGCTAGGAGCACAAGTCAGTCTAAGACGTCCACCTAACATGCATTTGCACACCAGGCCTGAGCACTCTCATGGCACTAGGCTAGATGCCAGACCGAGCAGTGGCTGCACAATCACCGGTGCCGAATCACATTTTCGTTTGGACCCTGACGCTGGCTGGGGTTCTGGGTGGCTGGAGGCCTGGCTTGGCCAATCGCGGCGTAGGTTTTGGCATGTTTCGAGCAGCAGCAGCAGCAGCAGCAGCAGCAGCAGCAGCAGCAGCAGCAGCAGCAGCAGCCTAAGCAGACGCTCTTATGCCACCCAGCTGGAGTTTTGGAAGGCCATGCCAACAGTCCAAGCAAGACCTGAATTGGGGCTTCTAGTTCAACCTGTAAAGTGGAGGCCACATGCTTTCGGGTTGCTGCTGCCTCGGACACCTTGCCTTACTTCCTAGAAGCACGGTCATCCCTGACAATCCTTCAGGTGTCCTGACGGGGTGCACAAAGGAATCTGCGACTAATCGACATGACCTCGTGCGGGATGACTTTGAAAAGCAGGATGCCCACTGCAGGTCACACCATGGAGAGTTCCGCACGTTCCGCATTCTGTTACAGACTGAGTTCAACACGGGCAGACTGCACTTTGGGCCTCAAGTGCAGCATCTCCACAAAATACCAAACGTCCTGCAAAAGGCAGCGGTCAAGCTTCAACCATATGAGACTCAACTCAAGTTACTGGTGGCCAATCCATCTTTCTTTCATGGGGCCTGGAGGCCGCAGCCCCCACGCAGTGAGCACGCCCCCAAGTGGTTGCGACTGGAACCTTCAAGAAAGCTCTCCTCCTCTTCTTCTTCTTCTTCTTCTTCTTCTTCTTTTTCTTCTTCTTCTTCTGGGGATTAGGGGTCCCTCGAAGGAGCCCCACGGGCGAGAGCGCGCCCGGATCCTGTTCTGTTGTGAGACTGCACTCAAAGGCTCGCCGTGATAGGGTCCCCCTGTTTCGTCCCTCTCTATCTCTCTCGCTCTCTCTGTCTCTCCCTCTCTCTCTTCTTCTTCTGCTGGGCATAGGGGAAGCCCCCCCACGCACTGGGCTGAGTCAGGTGCGTGTGTGAGAATTGTGGAAAGGGACGGTGTGTCGGTTGGGTCTGGTGCTGTAGCTTCCCGCCCTGTTGGCGAGCAACCCCCGAGCTTTGCATCCCCCTCGTGAGACACCGTGCTTTTCCCTTGAAGAAAGACCACTACCACTAAGATGCCATTGCTGCTCTAAACTCCAAGGGCCCCAAGTGCTACTCCCTATGTTAGCATACTTCTTGCAGGGCTTTCCTTGCACGGCTGTGGTCCCTTGGCAGTACATGGCTGGCTGCCTTGCTGGGCTCGGGTCTGGGCGTCTGCACCCCCTGGTCGGTGAAAAGTTACCCTGCTGCGTGCCCATGAGCCGTATCTAACCACAGTACTGAACCTCTTAGTTTCGTTAGGCTGCCTGGGCTGGTGGCAGGATGTGCAAGTCGGGCAGAAAAAACGTGCTCTCTCTCTCTCTCTCTCTCTCTCTCTCTCTGCCTCTCTCTATCTCTCTCTCTCTCTCTCTCTCTCTCTCTCTCTGTCTCTCTCTGTCTCTCTCGCTCGCTCTTTCTTTTCATTCTCTTGCCTGACTTGCATACGGTTAAACAACGCAGGGGTCCTTCTGCAGCTCCTCTTTGCACTCCTTGAGCTTTGATTCGACACCATTCAGAAGGTCATCCGGCAGCTCTGCTTGTCTTGCCTCCTGCAAAATCCACTTCAATTCCTCCTCCCTCTGCAACGCCACCTGAATGTCGGATGCGCGATGCCACCTCTGGAAAAGCTGAAGCCTGAGATGCCCTTTTCGGTTTCCTTTGCTTGGGGCGAAGTCCCGTATGCAACTTGCGAAATCTCTCTCGAAGTCCAGGTTGGTTTCTGACAGGTCCAGTTCTTGCGCCACTGCCCATTGAGCGAGCCGGCTCTGTGGGTCGAACCTGATCGGGATTTTCCAGCGCTTGTCCACAATCGGCCTGATGCATCGCGAAGCATCCGCACATCTGAGGAGCCACTCGGCTCTCTCGCAGAACCTCGTATCGCGATCGTTCAGCTGATCGGTGCCTTTTTCGGTCAGGATAGTTCCAAGAACATCGCCCCGATCTATCAGACGCTGCGCCGATGGTCTTGGTGACGAGGTCTGTGCCTGCCAAGCCGCTGACGCCCAACCAACAGGACCAGGATTCGGGCTTTGGTTGCTTCACCAGCACATGGATTCCCTGGGAGTTCTTTTATGTTCTTTTTGCGCCGATCGCAGCTGAAAAGCTGTTTGGAGTTCAAGCTGAAGAACACAAATAATTCGGAATTCGGAGCCACGGTGACTATGCTCTACCAGACGAGGTGTAGATCATTGGGGGGGTGGGTCATACAGGAGGGAGAGAGAGGGGGGGAGAGAAAGAGAGAGAGAGAGAGAGAGATTGATTCATAACAATGATAAACATGACTGATCAGTACACGCATCGCACATAGGTAACATCCGAAAGCAACTTGAGTTCATGAGGTGCTTTTTGGTTGCGAAGTGCCCTTGCAACATGGGATCTTCCAGCTTCCGCAGCGCCACCTCTTTCCCCCCCAGTGTCCTTGCTGCCCCGCCCAGCGCCCCCTCTCGGGGAAAGAGTGCTTGCGGGCTCTTGACGACATTTGCAATTCGCGGAGAGGGCGTGCAAACAACATAGAAGCATCCTCAACCCCTCAAAGCATCTAGCAAGGCCGTGGGCCTTCAAAGCCATGGTCATCAGGTAGAAGGACCAGGCATCTTTGTGCTTGCCCGACTTGAGGAACTGCTCGTAAGCCCGCTGGACATCGTGCTCCTCGCATGAAAGAAACCCCAACAACCCGCCAACAAAATTAGCCTTGCAACCTGTCACGAGCACAAGGGCAATTGAGATAGTGAATTGTGGCATGCGGCATGTTGCCATCACTTGAGCAACAAAACGTTTCCGCACTCAGCTCTGACTACTGAAGTTGATTGCATCGGGCACACCCGTCCTTTCTGTGTAAACTACCTGGGCATCAGTCATTCGGGAACAGGAAGAATGCATCCCGTTACATGTTGACCCCTCGCTGCTTTTGAGGTTTGGTGTTTGGGCACCTGCGGGTTCAGCAACAAACGCAAGAAACCGATCGGTCATGGTGCGAACCGCCGTGGTCAAGTCTTGGACGCACACCAGGCAAGGACTAACAGAGAAGCTCAACGAGTCCCCCCGCTGATGCTGTAGCGCATCGGCTAACTCCTCCATGTTCTCTTGCTCCCTCTTGCAGTTTATGTTGTCCTCGTCGGTGATCATTAAACTGTAGATGGAAAAGGGCCCTTCGCGGTTCTTCGCCTGGAGGGCGTCGTCCAGTGACTGCAAGACTCTGTTCTGCCACTTGCCGAACCAATCTTCGCCTTCGGTGTCCTCCATGAAGTCGCCCTTTCTGCCAAAGGCCGTCCTGATATCCAGCTCGCTGCATAAGGCCTCGACGTGGTTGTAGAGGTTTGACGGGCAGGAAGTGCAGATTTGGATGGAGTTGTCCGCTGTGCGGAAAATGAGAGGCAGTCTGTCCTGGCTTGGAACTGAAAATGGGGAAAGGAAGCAGGACTTACAGGATCTTATAGGCTTGCGGGCAATGAAGCTTGTGTTACATGACCAGGCAAGTGTGAGACCTCACTCTTGAAGGCGACATGTCTGGAAATGAGCTTCGATCCAAGGAGTAGGGTGAGCATACGGTCAACATTTTGCAGACCCCGCGGTCAAAAACAATCTCGACCCGGACTATGGGGGCCTCAGCATGGTGCTTAGATGCATTCTGCTGCTTTCTTGGAGCTTGAATCCGGCGGTTCTACGGTGAGCAATTCTCCACTGCCTCGTTGCTCGGTGGCCCCAGAGGCACCACGGAGGCTGAGCCCTCATCACAGACAGTATGCGTGTGCATGCAATGATGACTGCCGCTCACAGAAGGCACTGCCTTGTTTACACATGTGCATCATTCCGAACACTCATGAGGATCATCCCAGCCTGGCAGCAGCCCATCGCGCCGGCCGCCGCGGGCCCTCAGGGTCAGCAATGAAGCTTAGCGGCTTAGCGCGCCCGAGGAGCAGCTCGGGGCGCTGGGAACTGGAAACCATCAACGAGATGGTCGACCAGACAAGGCCGAGGTGAAACAGAGTCTGTCAATTCGATATCGTTAGGAACAAGTCGTCAGCGGCTGTCACTTTGTGTACCATGGACCATGGAGCTGTATACGCCTGTAGGCATCGTCTGTAGACTATATGGAGCTGCACGTCTGAAAAGGATCGGACGGGCTCAAGAAGGGCTCGGGCAAGGACTGGAGGGTTTTCACTGGACCTACACAAGTTGCACTTGAGTACCCACTGTACCAGCTGACACATGAAGCTGGCGAGGCGGAAAAATCCACGTTTGCAGGGCGTGCCGTGCTGTGCTCTACCCCGCGCTCTGATGACTGACCCGGACCTCCACACGCACGCAGGCGCTTCGTTTTGAAACGGTGCTCCGACTCCTCTATGCTGGCAGCAGGTTCAGTGGATCTCAAACCCGCCTTCCAGGGACACATGGGCTCGCATTCCACGGCGACTGAATCCGACTAGACGCCCTCCGTGCCTTGTCTGCTTCCAAACGGGTCTGCACTCAGCGTTTCTGCTGCCGCGAAGAGACTCAGCCTTCGGTCCAGCAGCTGTCTGCAAGGCTATAAGTGAACATGACCTTATAGGCCTAAAGAGAAGACATGCACGCAAGAGGGCAACCCCATCTACACGACATCCTCAAAGTTCTCACAAGAACCGACATCTCACCCAACCACCCTTGCCGAAGAAGGTCGAAATTCAGATGTGCCCTCGAAAAGGCTGTGCTGCTGTGCTTCAGTCAGTCCTGCCCCGCTCCCCTCAGCAACCCAGCTCCGCGCGGCTCAGGCATGAATCCGCCAGAGAAAGAGAGAGGGAGAGAGCCCACCCAACACGGCACTGGCCCCCTTAATCCCTACAAGTGTGAAAGGCTGAAGGGCCAGTTGCAGTTTAGGGGGGCCGAAGGGGGGGGTTTCGGGCCGTAGGGCTGCGGGGTCGACATCCCTAAACCTTGCCTGCCGTCACACTGCCACAGGCAGGGGGATGGCTGCCATGGCCGCAACGAACCTCGAGCCCTCGTTCTTTGACAGGGGCTCGGAGCTCGGGAGCTTGTTTAGGGCCGAAGGCTTTCCTACGCTTCATCAGAGCGGTCGGGGTGCACGAAGGCGCTTCAATGGATTCAGCATTGATCAGTGGATAAACTTATCGTAGGCACTTCATGCATCAGGCAGCTACACTAGGCTACACAGCTTTTTTTTTAATGCGGACGCCCCTTTACCACATCAGCAGCACAGTGGGCCGGTCTATTGCGACGAGGTGAGACGGCCATGACTACCGGAAGCAGCCAAACAGCACAGAACAACACACAACACACAAGAGAAAAGCAAAACGGAAGCAATCCAATCCTAAGGTGAAACATCCCTCTCTCAGAACACGAAGAGGTCGAAGTAGACCCGTTGTGGCTTGACTCGCGCTGTGTTGGAGGGAGCACAGAGTGCGGTTCGCAAAATGCAGTCGGTCTGCCAGAAGCAAAATCACGTTCCATGCTAGTCAGGTTGTCCCCCTCGCCCAGGTCATTCATATGGTCATTCCCTGCAGTACCCGTTACTGCCAAGCATTTTGGTTGTCGCCTCGATGTGAGGCACGCGACGCCGATGCCGCTACTGAAGCTGGTCGGCGGGCTTCCCTGGGCGAGGTGTCGGACGCCACCTCACTCTGGGAAGGGCGATTGCTCGGGTGCGAGGTGTCGGACGCCACCTCCCCGGCAGAGAGTGTGGCGCAGTTGGGCTCATCGGTGAGCTCCCCAATTTCAGCCCCCCACAGGGGGACCACAACGCCTTCGCGGCGTGGCTGACCTCCTGATGTGTCACAACCTTGCCGTTGTGTGAAACGCCGGACCGCGACCAGCGCCTCAGGTGTCGGGTCGCCCGGCTTCTGGTTGAAATACAGCTTGGACCATGCGCCGTTGAAAGGGCGTTTATTCTTGTGAGATGCCCAATGTGCCGTGACGGCATCGTACCAATCCCTCTTCCGTGGGAGGGGGGGCCTTTTGCTGGGGAACGGGACAGTTCTTCCAATGCGCACTATTGATAGAAGGGAATGTTTGAAGTACATCATGTCCCATGACTCCGCGAGAACTAGCGAGGGTATTGCCGGTCGACAAGAACCCACCTGCCAGCGCCTTGCAAAAGGGCAAATTGGACACTGCAGCGGGTGGACAGTTGCTTCTCTGCCGGCGCCAACCAGCAGATGGTGGGGGATCGCAATTGAGCAGGGTTCATTCCTTGCTTATCCCTGCCTTGAGACTGCAAGGGGCTCCGGGCAGGACCCTGGGTTGTGGTGCAAAAGAGGATCAGGCTCACTTGGCTCACGCAGGTCCGGGGAAAACATGCCGCCACTGCATTTTCAACCCCTGCCCGTGTGACAGTAATTTCTTCAGCGTCCTTTTTGCGCCTGTATGTAGGCGGGAAGGTGGAGAGCGTGGCAAGTTCGCTTCTAGAAGGGTACTGCCCCCGCCTCGGATAGAACTTGTAGATCATGGAAAATAGCAGCCATTGAGGAACTGTTTATGCGGGCGCCGTCCCGACTGCATTCCCTGCAATGCTGCCCACCCAGCCGTACGCGCATCCTCCCATTCAGGATACGGCCAAAATGGTTGGCATTTCGGAAGGCGACCGAGGTAACGTAACCAGCAGGGGTCCTTCACACTGGCAAAGAAGAACGTCAAACGCAGGTCGATTTCCTGTAGGGTGAGGTTGGTTGATTGATACTCCTGGAACCTCCAGTCGGAAACAACCGGGGTGTGTGGCCGTCAGACTCGCATGAAGAGTCACTATCGACCTCGACTACATCTGCACTAGTGTCTGTGGGGATTGGCGCTTGGTCATCTTTCACCAAACACTGAAGGGGGAGAACCGGTCAATCAAGGGCAGCCGCCGCCCAGAAGTGTTCGATCTGATGGCTGGCAATCGCCGCAGCAAAGTCTCGCCGTGTCGCGTCAAAGTTTAAGCTGCGGTATGTTCTATCCCCGAGGCACCAAGGCGTGACGATTGGTACCCGCGAGAAAAGCGACAGCTGCAGCTGGAGGCACATTTAGCTGTATATCCAGGAGGGTACCTCTGCGTATCCTCCATGCTTTCGTCCTGCTTGTCGCAGCCCGCCGGTAAGGCCGCCGCTCTACAGGCCACACCAGGGAAAGCGGCGCTTTTACCCCCGCGACGTCCTGGATAGCGAAGAAAAGATCAGCAATGTGCTGAGCGGCTGTTACGAATCCATAGCCAATGATGGACCCTGCAAACTTTCAAGCGCAAGGCCTTGGCAGCTGGGAAGTGTTTCCAGCGGGAACATTTCCAAGCTGGCGGCCAGGCGCATGCAGAGGTTAATTATGGGCGTATGGATCAGAAGATACGATGCAGGAAACGTTTCTGGAAGGAAGAGCAGCTGGTTGGCTCTCTTCAAAAAGTTGCTCCGGGTTCGACAGAAATTGCGGCATGTCCCGGATGAAGGTCTCATAGCAGCTGTACGCTTCAAGCTGCTGCTCGGGCGTAGTCAGGTGGGAGGAGTCCTTCATGACCAAGAAGGGGCGAGGATTGACTCGGTCCCGACCGGCCAACCTGCACTCAGTCCTTTCCATAGCAGGCCGCAGCACGATGTGTGTTCATCGGCATCCATGGATGCGTTGTCCCTCCTCGCCCTGGGTGGGGGTCGGCGATGGCGAGGGGGGAGCCGCCAATCCCTGCTGCCACTCGAGCGCCCTTTTGGAGGGCCGCTAAACCTACGGGGAACAATACCCTACGGGGAGTACGACGGACAGCCCAAATGGGCACCAGGATGACCATGCTGGTAACAATACTCAAGTTGACCAAAAATACCATCCCAAACCAATCGTTTTGTATTATCAGGAATTTCCGACAACTTGCTATGAGAAAACTCAATTTTCAGAACCATTCTTATCCGCTACACCTATTCATTTACAGTGCCATTGAGACCAAGTATCTCGGGGGAAAAGAGGCGAAGAAGGGTGATTTTTAGCTATTTTTTAATTACAAGGTTTGACTCGAGGGCTGTATATTATTGAAGATATGATTTTTCTTACATATATCACCTAATTTTTTATCGTAGTCAGAGGTCCTCCAAAAATCCCCACATATAAGATGGGGGAATAATTTCAACTTGCATTCTCAGTACATTGACCCGTTTATTTTCTCAGGGCAAGCTGTAAGCATCTCTTGAAGCTACCAGCTATCCCTAGCCTCATGTCTCCTCAACTTTCAGCAAAGTCATTCTCCACTGTTAATCTTCGCTGCAAATTACAAATTGGCCAAGAATCCTAAATCTAGGCCACTTCTTGCAGCAGCAAATACACCATCACAGGCTGCAGCAAACATCCACACACACCTGGCATCCCTTGACTCCCTTTTTTCCCAATCGCAGGTTTGCGAAGGAAGCCTTCGCAGCGGCTCTTGACAGTCTCCATGTCTATTTAACACAGAAACTGATCTTTAACAAAACGGTGCTGTCTAATTAAGGTCCTTGAAGGCTCAAGACTTCAAGACCTGCTTGTGAAAGGGTTTCTTTCACCTACCATTTCTTTCGTACCAGCCCTCCATTTTGAACACCACCTGTGTGACGGTCTCTTCGAGTTGCTGGATTTTGTCCCAGTTCTTGGTATCTATTGCTGCAGCAAAATCTTCAATTGGGCTCTAGTAATCAAACAATGCCAAACGAAGCCAAGAAACTGCACGACGCTTGCTCAGGTAATCTCTTCTTCGCTTCAACTTCTCCAAGTTGTAGACGCCGCGATCTACCATTATCCCTATTTCTCTGCGACCTTGTACTCGAGGAGTTCCCTGCTTCACTTGCACTCTCGCTGTCTCCTTCTCTGTCTGCTTCATCTCGACTCCATCCTCAAAGTATTGCGCGTTGTGTCTCTGCATAGCATGACACCTCTGTGCCACTTCGGTGCTTGACATCTTTTCCTAGACAAAGCCAAAGTCAGCAGGGGCAATGTTTCTTGAGCCTTCTTCCTTTCGATTTCGTCTGGCAACAGACAAGGCTATAGGCACGGCAAATGACCTACAAGCTTTGACTCTCAAAGACTGCATTATTCCAGTCTTCTTTAACTTGTGAAGTTGTGGCGCAAGGCACACTTGCAGATCCGGTCTTTTTGCACCCCCTCGCTTCCGGTTGCCTGCATCCCGATGAGCAAAGCCCTTGCTGATTATTTCCTGCAAGACAAATGGTGTCTGGCAGGTCTCGCTTACCATGTGCATGATTGCTGCTTCCCAGAACCTTTTCCAAAACCACAGCACAAAACTTCTATAATAGAACTCGCACGGCAGAAGTATTCAACGGTAATTGGTTAGTCACACCACAGGAATGGGTCACTGCGATGCAGCAATGCATGCTTCATATCCCTTTTCGGCCAGAAAACTCCCTTGTTCTTTTCACATCGAACTAGGGAAGCTACTGCCACTCAGCTGGTCTCGTCCTTCAGGAGTTCTTCAATGTGGTTTGCTATCTTCCTCAGTTTCTGCTTTGCCTTCCCGAACTCCTTCTCCCAGGCCCTCTTTGACATCTTTGTTTCAGGATGGGGCAAGATTCTGTCCAGCATCTCCGAGGCCAGCAAGTTCTCATACTCGCTTCGTAGCTTCTCCCAGACCAACGACCTCTTCATCCTTGTTTTTTCGTCTTGAACAAATGTCGATTCTGGGCTGCAAGACGTCGTGGCTCCGGTGTCTCCTGGATCATCCTTGTTCTTGTCGAAGTCCATAATCTCTGCAGGCATCTTTATGCCCGATGAAAAAGCACTTTTCAGCACTACTGGAGCCAAACTGCAAACAAAGACATGTCAGGATGCAGGTGCCCGTGTAAGCTTCATGACCGTGCTTTTGCAACTCTTGGCAGCGACAGGACAAGTTTATTCTTTTTTCTCCTCTGTGGTTTGCTGCGACATCCCAAATAAAATATATTTTCCACCAACTCCAGCAGCCTTGCTTGAGTTGGTAATCGCTCAGGACTCAGGAAACGCACTCACATGATTGTGGTCGCTGCAGCCTTTTTTGCATCTCGTTTCTTTTCCTTCTTCTTCATCTTCTTTGTCTTTTTATTTTGTTTCGTCTTCTGATCATCTCTCGGTGGCCTGGGCGAAGTAGAAGGACTCGAATCGTCTTCTTCTTTGACGATCTCAGGGGAGCAGGAAGGTCCATCTTCCTCGCTCTTATCTTGCTGCTTGTGTTGGTTTCCCCAGACAATCAGCTGCATGTTGTTGTCCACTACCGCTGCAGGCTGAGGGCAAGGATCCTCGCCCTCGGATCCGCTGGACTGCACGTTCAGCACTGTGTTCTCCCTAGTCCGGCTTTCTGACAGGTCTGCTTCTTTGCTTATTTTCGGTCTTTCCGTGCTACCACTGCCTGCTCTCCCCCAGTAGGCTTCCAGGGTGCTGTTCAAGTTCACCTGCACAGGCATTGCTAAGAAGAACGCCAGTCCGACAAGAAGAAGAAATAACATACTTTTTTACAATACATCGTACTCGTTTATCTACAACGAATCTTCCTCTATTTTGTGCCTCGGCAGCAGAGGACGATCTTTGTCGTGTAGCTGCTTCTGCAGCCAAACCCAATGAACTTCGAGTCCAGGTGTCGCTTCATGTAGTCGCCACTCTCACCGTCGAAGATGGTCGAAGGCTCTCTACTTTAGGTTCTTTTCTTGGGCAATGACAAGTTCACGGAATGACACAATCCTTTCACTTGCACCCTTCACACAATGCTCCATGCCTCTTGCTATGATTGTTGGCATGCTCATGTCATCTCTTTTTCTTTCCGACCCTATATTCTGCAGCCTCGCTGTTTCCGAGTGTGCTGCTCTGAACAAAGCACAGTTGTGAAACTGGGGCCTGCTTCAGTGAAAAGATATCATACGAGTCCATTATATCTACACAACCACTATTACATGACTTATAAAAAAGGTAGCTCACAACTATATCACGAATGACCCCAGAGCTGCTTGCGATTATCGGTCACTCTTTTTTTACTCTGCTCTAATGGCTTCTCTGTATTCTGGTTTAGACCGACATTCAGCTCAGCTACTGCTTATAAATTCTTTTATCGCTTCATCTCAGCATCTCAGTCGTTGCCCTCATTCTCTCCAGAGATATTCTTCTCTCTTGAGAGACGAGATAGTCAGTGCTTGTGCAGGAGCTTCTTCAACTCTTGGTAGCCTTCACTGAACAGTGAGGGGAATGGTACACATCTCTTCGCGTGGCATGGAGCCACGCCCACATTTCAAACACAAGAAGTGGCGTAGAGCCACCAGCCTTCTTTCCCCTCTTTCCCGGGTGGGAGGGTGGGGAACAAAAATTTTCGCCAGCTTGCTGCGAGCAAGAACCTTGACCCATTCAACATGCAATTCACATGTAAAACTCATGCAAAAATTCTCATGAGAGTGCATGCACGGGTCAGACGAAAATTCCCAACAGAACATCATGCAGAACATGGACACAAAAATTCCCATCAAAGAATTTTTGAGTTCATCTGGCATAAAACGCTGTCACACAAGTGTGAAGGCTTGCTTATGCCAAAGATGAAGTCCATGTTCGAATATATGTTGCCGAAACATATTAAAACAAATTATTGAAAACAGCGACCAAGATTCAACAGCAAGCGGACAGCTATCCCTTGTTTTTCTCTGCCTTCGCAACGCGAAAAGGGGAATGGTACACATCTCTTCGCGTGGCATGGAGCCACGCCCACATTTCAAACACAAGAAGTGGCGTAGAGCCACCAGCCTTCTTTCCCCTTTTCACTCCATCCTTTCGAGGATTGTGCCAGTGAGGAAACAATGCGGTGTCTCCTCGACAAAAGGTTTGAAACACGACATGTCATGCCAACGGCCTCTTGACGGGGCGTCGGCTGGATTTGAGTGGCTTGGAACCCGATGGAACCAGGACATGCAAGGCCTCGCTTCATCTGCAACTTCAAAGGCCATAAGAAGTTGCCTCCAGGATGAGTCGGATGACGTCCCGGTCATGCATGCGCCCTGCACGCCTGAATGGTCGATAAAGTAGACGTTCGCTGCAAGTTCAAGCCACACTACCAAAGCTAACAAAAGCCTACAGGAAATCTTAAGTCTAAGCGAGCACTGTACCACGAGCTCTCCCACTTTTTGACTTTGCCGGAAATGCCGCTCAGAGTTCAAAGCAGAATGCAAAGCAGATGATGCGTACTAAGTCTGAAGCGTAGAGAACCAACGCAAAGCAAGTGTAAAGAAGATACCGCACTAAGTCTGAAGCATAACTGCCAACAATACAAAGGGAGAATATCACTGCGCTTCTTGTGAAACTGAGTGAAACGATGTAAGTTCCTGGCTGTATGAAGGTCCGACCCGCCCCAACAAAGAAGGAACGTGCCTTCAAAGAGGGAGTGGTGGGTGGGTCAAAAGTAAAGCTAGCCAGCATTGCACTGATTCGGTGTGTGGCTTGAACCAAAAACGACAAAGTACGGTGATCTTTCTCAAACAGCAAACAGTTATGAGTAAACACATGAACCGTTCGCTGCAAGTTCAAGCCACACTACCAAAGCTAACAAAAGCCTACAGGAAATCTTAAGTCTAAGCGAGCACTGTACCACGAGCTCTCCCACTTTTTGACTTTGCCGGAAATGCCGCTCAGAGTTCAAAGCAGAATGCAAAGCAGATGATGCGTACTAAGTCTGAAGCGTAGAGAACCAACTTTCAAACTGGCAAAGTCAAAGCTCGCCGGGCCTACCTACCCCATTTCTAAGTGAGCGCAGACTATGCCAGGCTCTCACATCAGAGCTCAGGAAAGTGATTATGGCGGCTGCCATTTGAGCTTGGCATCTGGAGGCCAAAGGCGCACATCGGAACGGAAGTGCCAGATGCGTGCAAGGCTGCAGTCCACACGAAAGTCCGGAAGGAACTTGGCAGGCAAGGGCTGGGACTCATCACTCCAGCGGGAGAGCAAATCTGCATCGTCATTCTTTTCGCCGGGTACGTGGAACACGTCGAGCTCAATGCCAGTCATGCATGCCAACATTGACAAGCGTTTCAGAAACACTGACAAAGGAAAGGCCGAGCTGTAGAGCTTATCAAAACACGGCCGTTTAAGCTTCTGCAGAACCGGGGGAGTATCGACTGGCTCGCTTGATGGAGTGGGACTCGCAAAAGTCGGCAGCACTGTCGCCAAAGGCTTCAAGGGCTTGGGCGTGGGGTCATAGGCCAATAGACCCACATCCCAGGGCATTTTCCACAGCGACCGACCCGAGGCCGTGCAGGACAGGACATGTAAAGCTTGCCGGGTGTCCTGGCTCAAGCTCTCGGGACCTGACAAGGCATGAGATGGGGCAGGAACAGGCTGATCGTCACTCCCCATTTCACTAGCATCAGAAATCGGCATCAAAGGCGCACAGGCAGGGCGTGCAAAAGGCCGCGCAAAAGGAAGCTCAAGTGTTGTACCAAGGCCTGTAGAAAGTGGCTGATAGCAGCAAGGCGGGTGGAGTCCTGTTCAAGCTGATCAGCGTTATCCTGCACACGGGACTGCAAGGCGAGGACCCGATGCTCAAGGCTGACCAAACGGTTTTGAACACTGCGCAGATGACGCCCGAGCAAGGCCACGTCACGGCTCAAGGATGCAAGGCGAACCTCAACAGGCACGGAATGGGCAGCTGCGGCAGGAGACTCAGGGGCCTCGAGGTCCATCTGCCGGCCCCGCGGGCCGACGTGCACGAGCCCTAGCGGCAAACTCGGGTTACAGGGGAACTGAGACCTCTAGCACAGCACTAGTACGGCCCCGAACCCGGAACAAAAATTTTCGCCAGCTTGCTGCGAGCAAGAACCTTGACCCATTCAACATGCAGTTCACATGTAAAACTCATGCAAAAATTCTCATGAGAGTGCATGCACGGGTCAGACGAAAATTCCCAACAGAACATCATGCAGAACATGGACACAAAAATTCCCATCAAAGAATTTTTGAGTTCATCTGACATAAAACGCTGTCACACAAGTGTGAAGGCTTGCTTGTTGCTCAACACATCTCCACCCCTCCCCCTTGCTCCCCTCCGTAAAACAAAAAAAACGGGCGCCTTGTAGCTTCGCAGCTCGGCAAGGACCTTTTTAGCGTGCTCTGTCATGGCCTCGCCTCTGTGGGTGACGCTCCAATTCCAGGCTTGTGTCAGGACCTCCTCAGCTGCAAGCTTTGCTCCCACGCTGGTCCACGATATACTCCGCTGCTCGGTGGCCTCGGCACTCTTCCATGTTATTCGCCATCGGCCGTTTTTTGCATCCGTGAGCACGTGCAAGTACTCGGGCTTGCCTTTTTTGATGAAATTGTCCATGGCTTCGTTCACGTCGTCGTATTTTGTGTTTTCGTACGAGCTTCCAGGCTCGCAAGTCGGCATCTTTGAGCTGGGTTTGGTGCTTCCGCTGCTGCCGCCGGCCTCTCCCTCCTTCTTTTTGTTTCCGACTGCTCCCTCCTCTTTTTTGGTCTTTTTGGCCAAGCTTTTCTTTCTCTCTGCAGCTTTGGCCGGTGGCAGCTGCCTGATGGTCTCCTGAAAGTAGCTACTCAGGGCCTCTGCTGTTTTCTGTCTGTTTTGCTTGGCCTTTTCGCTCTTCTTCAAGATGCTCAAAATCTTATCTCTATCTTGCTGAATCACAGAGTCCTCCATGATTGTCTGGACTTGGTCAAGCATCTCATCATTGCACTCGCTCTCAAGAGCTCCCGAGTTTTCGAAGACTTGCCACTACCTCTTCAGCGCTTGTTCCGGGCTCGTGGTGTACGACCAAAGCAGCCTGTAGAGCGTTCAGCTCTGATACGTTCTTTGGCACACTCGGCATCCTCACGTCCCACTCAGCGCATAGCTTCTTCAGGATCTCTTCGGGGATTCCCGAGAAGCCGTGCTCTGTGTGGTGTTGCTCCAAATTCTTTGGTGCTATGCTGCTTGATATGGTGCAGCCAGCGCCTGTATGCTTTGGATCCATCATCCACACTCTGCTGGGGGTTCAGACAACGCCCACTGCAAGACCTAACCCTAGTTGGGGGAGAGCGGGTAGTGCGAGCCCTCTAGATCCCAAAGACCCTACGGGAGGGGGACTAGGGGCAACAACGTCCTACCCTGCACGCGACGGCCTTTTTCACGGGTGCTGCTCTGGGCGAGTTTGGCAATCAGGCCGGGGGGCCCCTCAGGCGAGAGGCACCGGTCCTGATATGTGGCATACCCCCCCTTTGGAGGGTTTATGGCGGCTAGGCGCGGGCTACTCCTCTTTAAGAGGCAGTAGTGCGGCAGTGTGCTGGGCTACTCCACTTTGGGAGGCAGAAAGCTGTTAGCTATTGTGGAGAGTGCATAGAGTTTGGCGTTGAGTGAGCAGGGCATGGGCGGGCGGGCGAAAAAATGCTCACACGCTATGTATGGCCCCAACTCGGGTTAGGTCAGGGCCAGCTGAGCCAGGAGTCAGCTGGGCATGGGCAGACATGGGTGGTCATGATTCGTGCGTGTCAAAACACCTGGGAAACAAAAACCCAGTGGAGGCGGCGAGGCATCTCCGTGCGAGGGGGCCTCGTATGTGAACCAGAAGGTGGACCAGTCCACCTCTTTGGCACCTCTAAGTGGCTGACCCATGCCGTAGAAATAATACCACGTTCGGCCATCACATTGCGTCATGGGCAGGTGATAGGCCTCGTGGGGCCCGGGTTGCGTGGGCTCTGTGGGCTTGGCTTTGACCGGCACGCCTTTAGGCTGTGCGAGAGGCTGTGGCTCTGGCGGGCCGGCTCAGCGGGCGCCGCTGCTTCATCGGTTTCCTCCAAATCCGGGTCAGGCAGGGTGCTGGGCCCTGCAAAGAAGGCAGCAACCGTGTCGGCGGCTTCCTCGGCAAGGTCAGCCCAAGCCTTCCTTTCTAAGGCTGTGGCGTCGGCAGGTATCTTGCTCGGGGCCCGTGGCAGGCGTTTCAGGCGATGTGCTCGAGCAGCTCGGCGGGCACGAGTGCTTGGTCTCGGCAGAAGTGCAATGTAGGCAGTGCGCGGCCGTCGGCAAAGGCTTTGCGGACGTGATTGGCTGTCCATAGGCAGGACGTGGCTTGGTCAATGAAGCTCCAGTCACGGCGCTGGGCGTCTGGGTTGCACCCTTGTGGGGCAGGTGGGCTCTGTGGCGCCGAGGCAAGCAGGGCTTCCCGTCGTGCCTGGGCGGCGGCTTTGCAGTCTTGAAGCTCTTGGGCTTGCTGAGGCGTCAGCAGGGCGGGGGCAGGGGAGTCCCTTGGGCAGGCTCCGCGGGGCATGTCGCCGAGGTCGTGGGCGGCTCGGCTGGCGTGGGCTGACCAGTGGGCGTGGTCTGTGCGGCAAGCCCTCCAAGGAGGCTTTGCTTGGCACTGTCGTCCAACTGTGCCCAGAGGGCAGCAAACTGGGCAAGAGCGGTGTCCGGCGTACTTGCCATGGCGGCTGAAAACACGGGACAGGGCACGAAAGAGGGCGGAGGGCTTGCAGAGGGCTTGAGAAGGAGCGCTGAGGGAAGGGAGCCAGTGCAGGTCACATAACCACATGAGGCATGCAGAGAGCGACCACAAACAGCAAACATGTGCAGTGCGCAGACATGAGGCGGGCCTTGAAAAGACGTTGGCGGGCTTGGGCTGTGGGGCGTACCTGCAAAGCACATGTGCGTGTCACTCCGGAAGGCAGAAAGGTGTGTGTGGGCACGCATACCCTCCGTCATCAAGCGAAAAACATCCATGTCGTCAAAACCGTGTTCCTGAAGCAAAGCCTGCCATGCCAGAAGATTCTTGTTGCGAACGACCTTTTGAACAGAGGCCGGCAGCCTCTGGTGCAAGCGACTTTCCTCTGGGGCAAGCTTTTTAATCAGCAATTTAAGTTTCAAGATGGCAAGTTTCCTGATCATGTCCACATGTTGCTTAGACTGACTGGCGCAGAAGTCGATTGCATCCAGGGTGCTCTGGTCCACTGGGTTGACCGTGTCGACAGGATGTGCCAATGTGATAGCCCTGTCGAAGAACTCCTGCGGGGATCGGAAACGCCCGACCCTGACGAAGTCCTCCTCCTCCTGTCAAGGTCTTGAACTGAGGCTGACCCGACTGGCCGCGGGGGACCCAGAGGACTTCTGCAAACTCGGGCAAGAGAGGCGGGTGGCGGCGACGCTGCTTCTGCGCGGCTGCAGAGGCGAGGTCACGCAAGCGCAGCTCGGACTGAAAGACGGAGGGACGGGACTCTTGCACGAACACTCGGACCCGGGCGGCCATGCGTTGTGCCAAAAGAGCAGGATACTCGGCCTCATCAGCCGTGTTGAAGCGCCAGTGGGAGAAATGAGGTCGCACTCCCAGGGGAGGTGATCATGGGAACCCGAGCAGAGAACGGCCAGGGGCTCAAAGAGACCGGCGGTCGCCAACAACTTCGTTCGTTTGGCGCGGCTTCCGCCATGCTCACAGGCAGCAAAGAGAACCTGGGACAAGCGATTAAAGGCGCGTTGCGTGGCAAGCGGCCATTCACGCACATGAATCATGAGCGCGGCCCAAGCCCAACTCCGGGCTGGGTTCTCCAAGCTGACAGGCACGTTGTTTTCCAGGCACCAGCGAAGGACCTGGGCCGAAAAGCGGTAAAGCTCGTTTGCCGCGGCAACCTTCAAGGCATCCACACTGTCGGGGCTTATGTCCGGGCGTCCTAGAGGGTGCTCTGCAGACCGGAGGGGCTTCGGGTCGGGGACCCCTGCGAGTCGCAGATGCAGAGGCACAGGGCGGTCACGGGCCCGGGAGGATGTGCCACACGGAAAACCAAGATGTACGAAAGCCGGCGGTACAGTCTGCAGGAGGTGAAGGATCATTTGTTGACAGGCAGCATTGCACAAGTCCAACTGGCAAATGGGAACCAGAGCACCACGAACCTTATGATCCACGGAGACGACCTGGAAGCCTGCGGCGCGCAAGCATTGCGAGAGCCGGCCACGGCCGGCGAAAAGCTCAAGAGCCAGTGCAGGGTTAGGGCCAGGCGGGGCAGGCGGGGGTTCGGGCTTAGGGGAACTTAACTGAAAACCTGCATCACGCAGGCGAACAGCGTCCTGCTCGGACAGCAAGTGCAAGTCCCGAACGCTATAGGCCACGAGGACAGTGCGGGAACCCTTCCAAGGCTGGGTCCAGTGTTTCTGATTACGGGCATCAAAGCACAGGGTATGCAAGTGCCAAGGTATGACGCGACCACGCATGACTTGGTCTCGAAGCACAGCACGTTCCGGGCCATCAGGGTCCTCGACGATGATGGCGCCCTCCTGAAAGTCTGAGAGAGCTATGAGGAAATTCAAACTGCCCTCCGCATTATGCACATCTTGATGCACGGGCGCTTCAAGGTCCTGAAAAATGGCGATGGAGCTAAAAGCATGCAGGGGTGCGAAATGCCGCACCAGCGTGGTGAAGACGCGGGCCGACTGAGGGTAGTCTCTGAAAGAAGCCGTGAGGCCCACGTCGTTGGAAAACACATAGGCCCCCACCACAAATGTCTTCCCCGGCCCGGTCTTAGCGGAGCGGCGGGACTTTAGGGCGGGAAGCCGGTCGAAACTTCACAAGCTTGCTGACGGCTCAAAGGTGTTCTTTGCTGGAGAAAAGAAGAGGCCAGGGCCTCCGCAGAAGAAGGCAAAACTCCCCCGACTTCACCCGTGGACCGGGCCAGAGGGCCGGCTGCCTCCCCCGCGGGGGGCGGAGGAGGCGGGCCATCCTTTCAGTCCTGGTGATTGCACTCATGGAAAGACCGCAGCCCTTCTTCCAGCACACATGGAAACCCCGCTGGCATCGTTTTCCTTTCCCATTCCAGCGACATGTGCCACGGTTAAACCCGAAACAAATGGGCTTGCCGTCCACGGTCTTAGACACACAGCCCTCGGGAACGATCAAGGCAGTTTCAGGAGTCTTACCATCGCGCTTTCCTTTGGGGGTAGTGCCCTTACCCCCCCCTTTGGGCTGGAACTGCACCACCTCGTTGGCGTACATGAGGGTGCGGATCTGCGCATCAAGCGGCTTAGGCTGGTTGGGAGCAGCAAGCAAGGTTCCGATCATCTTCTCGGAAGCGAAAATGAACAAGGCTTTGTCGGCAGATATGAGCTGCTGCACACTGATTGATTGGAAACCCACCTCACGCGCCTGTATGGAGAACAAGTGTTGCACCCACTTTTCGATTTCTATGAAACTGCAAAGACCGGCTTGGTCCATGGCAAGCGAGCGGCGTAGCCAGGCCGCCCGCAACTTAGTGTCAGAGGATACCTCACAAGTAGGGTCCTTGGAGTGGGCGATCACACGCAGCCGACCATCGGCCTCGACCTGAATGGACTTGTCCTTACGAGAGAGCTGCAGCTCTTGCGCACGGGAGATGCACCTTTCGGGACCCAGGTAAGTGAGAATCCCCTGTTCCCCCATGTCAACAAACAGATCAACAAGGCAATTGGCAGGGGAGGTCTCCGGAGTGAACACAACACCTTGGAGACGCGCCTCTTGGGCCTTGGCCCTTGCTGCACGCTCTGCCGGGGGCAACTTTCGAACCTGGGCCTCACCATTGGGTTCGACACGGGAGCGCAGCTCAGCAATATTCATGGATTGACTTTCAAACATCAATCGTCTGATGCAAGCCGTCTGAAATGGAGACAAAGGGTTGGCAAAAGTGGCTTCCATCCAAGCAGTCACGGCAGCGTCATCGAGCTGATGGGGTGAGGAGGATGCCGCGAAACACAACTTGCCGAAGGTGTCGAAATTGGCGGCGATCAACTCTTGAAGCACCTCATCTGTGACTCCAATCTTTTTGGCGCGGTCTTTGAACTGGGGAACACTATCCAGTGCAGCACTAGCCATGTTTTACACAGCCAAAAGGAGGGGACGCTACTCCTCAAATGATCAAGTTGAGCCGACAACTCTGAGATGATATAAAAGTCGGAAGGGAAAGCATACATGGGCCCCCAAAGCTAGGACACGGCCCGGGCTCGGCTGCCCACATGCGCCTTGACTCACAGTCAGCTCGGATGCCGAACCACACACAAGATAGGCACAAGACATTTGCAGCATATAGGCCCCACAACGCACAAAGCCTGGGCTCGGATGCCCACATGCACTCGACTCTGAAGCAGCGGGCTCGGATGCCCCAGGCTCGGGCGGTTTTTGGTAGCTAGGGCAACGGCTCCGATAGCAACACCCGATTGCACTGATGGCAACAGTCGGGCTCAAAATGTGCTACCGCCGAAACGGCCTCGGTTGGCTTATAGTTGTCGGACAAAGGGCGTCCGCAAAGAAGAGTAGATTCATCCCTCTTCAAGTGGGTAATTCCCGAAAGGACATGAGTGACACACTGGCTCCAGCTTACATCGGAAAAGGGGGGCCTAACCCTCGCAAGACCATCACGTTCCCCCATCTCAACCCCCGAGCAAGAAGCCAAACTAAAAGTGTGAACGGTTCCGTGTTTGAACCTTTGCGACCCAATACAAACAATTCTGCATGCTCTGAAAACTCATGTATGTCAAGCAAGAACATGACTCTGGTCTGCATGCAATCAACGGTTCCCAAGTTTTTAAACACTTTGGTACAAACTTTCAACGGGAAAGGAAACATTAAAATCATTCGGAGAAAAACCCCGGCTCTTAAAACGAGCCTGTTTAGTTGATGGTAGAAAATATTATCCGCAAGCGGAAGGCTATCTTCTCCTCGCAAGCCAGGACGACCTTGTCGATTGCGCAGAGGAAGGAGCGGGTTTCCTGCTGCTTGACGTTGTCCTCGTCCAGCAGTCCTGCGCACGCCCCAGGGAGAGACCAGGTGTGCCAAGCCATGGAGCCCAGGCGGTACTTCAGTAGCTTGAACAACACCAGCCAGCATTTCTTTGCCAGCGCGTCCTCGCTTTGCAGTTTGTCTTCACTCAGTTCGCTCTTGGCTCTCTGGCTGCGGCTCATCTCGAAGCCCATTCTGGATAGCAAGGTGAGGTTGCTCAACACTGCAATCTGCTTATTGGCAATCTCCATGAAGCTCCACTGGCTCCACTCACGAAACTGTTCCCTGCAAGCGTCTGCGCCACGCATGTGTGCTAGCATGCGGCCGCTGTCGTCGCTTTCTGGCTTGTGCAGATAAAACATCACGCGGGCCAGGTTCTTGTTCACGGGATCGTTCATCCACTTGCAGTACAGGTGCAGTGTGTTTTGAGCTTTGGATCTCATCTTAGCCAGGGTCTCCTTTGCCTCCTTCTTGGCCTGAGCGGCGCTTTGCGGAGCCTGCTCCTTCTGTATGGCTCTGAGGGCGCCCTCCGGAGCCCACAGCTCGTCGGCAAAATCAACAAACTTCTGGGTTAGGCAGATGACGGTGAGGATCAAAGCAAAGCTGCTCCAATGTCGGTCTAGGTGTTCTTGTGAGTGCTGGAGCGAGTTGAAGCGACTTGTGCTCGCCTTGGGTCCCTTGGACGTAACGATCGGGGAACTGGGAAGGTCTTCCAGGTATTGCTTCCTCCTGGCCTCGTTGTTGTTCTCCAGGCCCTCGCCAAGGTCCAGCAGGATGTCCTCGAAAAAAAACTTGAGCAGATCGTCGTTAGGGTTCATCCCTTCCTTCATTTCCCTGGCCGCATCCACTACCTGCTCGTGAAAGCCTCCTTTTTGAAAAGGTCCGTCCTGAAGGTTGTAGAGGCTCACCGCGTGGCAGGCCTGCTTGAGGATGCCTGCCTGAGCCAATGCCAGGGTGCAGTCATTGGATCTGCGGTGCTGCGGATCGTACGTGTGTTCGATGCATGCCCCAAGCTGCCATCTAAGATAGTTGGCGGCTGCAATCTGAGTCCCTTCTTGATCTGTGGTCAGCAGAAGAGTGGGCGGCTGCTCGCTCTTCTTGATGTCGTCTTTGCTGACAAAGAAGTCACTTAGGGAGTGGCCCAGCCAGCGCATGCTGTGGTTGATGTCCAGCATCCACTGGTATGTGGCCACTCTCTGGGGCTCTACCGTGGATTTCTCCCTCAGCCTTCTCCTTCTGGTTTGGACGTCCTCGTGGTCTCGATCTTTCAAGAACTCGGCAACTCGCTTCTGCCAGGACTTCTTGTTCCCTCCGGGGCCGCTGTTTTCCTTCAGCTTCTTCTGGACCTGCATGATGGCAGGGGACGTGAGACGCGCCTGGATTTGGGCATAAGGGTTTCGGCTCCATGGTCAAGCGATTTGGGCTTCCCCCGGCTTTCTTTCCTCTCTTTTCTTAATGGAAAACAAAAAAAGCGCCAAACCTACGGGGAACTCGATGGGCCCAAAAAACGCGTTAAACCTACGGGGAACGCGACGCTAAAAACGGACCAAAAACAAGCAAAAAAAGGGCTGTTTTTTTGGATAAAAAACGACCCCGAAAACGGCGCGCGAAACCTACGGGGAACGCAACGCGCGCTTTTTGAAGGCAAATACAAATTGGCGCGCCAAACCGACGGAGAGCGACGCCAAAAACGGACCCCAAAAATGCTTAAAAACTACCTCAAAACGCGCGCGGAACCTACGGGGAACGCGACGCCCGAACACAGCCTAAACGGGCCAGGTTTTAAGGGTTGGGGTACAGGTTTTTCAGGCTCCGGAGTCCACGTCTGGCGGGCAGATGCCAGCCAGTCCTGTTTCCAAATTTGAAAAAACAAGCGGTCTTTTCCACTTAAGTTAGGGCCTGAATGTCGCATCATCCGAATCATGCAATGCACTCCTGGCAAAACATGAAAGACGTGTCAAAGCACTAGAAAATCTGTACACAATATATGCTAGGGGGTAAATGGTAAAGTTCATCACCCCGCCTGAGATTGCAGTGTTCGAACTGCATATCTCACATGAACTTTCGTCTGCTACTCTGTGCGCGTCAGCATGTCTTTACAATGACTGCACGTGCTCAACCTCCTTGGGGGATTGAGGGAACTCTTCAAGGTTCCACAGCTTCTGTGATGAAAACACTCACCACTTCGTGTAACGAAAAGCTCTTGGGGTACCACGATTCTCACATTGGCATCAGAACGGACTCGCATCAGCTCACCATCAGTTGGCTCAGTACTCGTCAGTTGCAATTTGTGCTCCAGCTGAAGAATGTAGCGACGCATGGTCCACACCACCCCAAGAAGAAAGAAGCACATGTACTGCTCCATGGTAGACTCCGGCATCAGTCCACACAGGAAGATGAAACTCATGATCATCTTGGTCGCAAAGTCTTGCGAGCTCATTTCCAGAAGACTGTTCATGTCGAAACCATGGAAGTCTCTGGCCCAGCTCAAGGCCCGGTAAATGCACAAACCACAGCACAACAGGACGGTAGCCCAAGTCACGTTCGCCATGCCATGACGTTGGTACGGATTCGCCGCCTCTGCTGCATCTCCAGTTGTAGGCAAACAAAGAAGAGTAAGAAGTGCTACCTGTTTCGTCAGCCTGCTTGCTTCGCCCTTCAAGGAACCGGTCACTCCATGCTGCCGAGCATATTCAGTACGAACTCTCTTCACCTGCATCTTTGCTTGATCTTGCAGAGCCATTTGCGCAAACTCTTCCTCGCCAATAGCCTTTCCTGTCAAAGCATCAACGAAACCATGCAAGAACAGTAAGGCTCGCAAACGATTGGCACTGTGCATCTTTGTAGATAAATCGCCAAGATTGAAAATGCTTGCAATTGCTCCAACATCGATGATCTTCTCACGCACTGATTGCTGCAACCACAAGAGACGACCAGCTACATGGCGAGTCTTGTCCCCAACGCCTTGGCGTAAGGCGAGCTGTCTCGCTGCTGAATTGTCTATCTTAAGATCCAAGGAGCATTCTGTAATCGCCGCCATGAAGACGAAAATCGCCCTCAGGAAAATTCCTTCGCAAGCAGCACTTATCGCAGCATACCATTCGGCTTCTGCTGATGAAAGACTCACAGTGCGATGTGACCTGCAGATGTGATGGAACACACAACCATTCACTGCATACGACGCGGATCCAAAAGACTTTCTTGTAACCCGATGTCCACTCCAATCAGAATCGCTGTAGATCTCAATTCGGTTGGGCATATCATCGTGATTTGCCTCGCGGAAGACTGTGGATCCAGGAAGCTTGGGCGAAAGCAACGTGGCATACTCAGCAGTGTTAAGCAGATACTTCGCTAGTCTGATCAATCCTTTCCATGCCTGTTCGGTGGGATTTGACATGAATCCTGCCAAAAGTCGGACAGAGTAGCAGATGTCAATGCGATCACTTGACAAATACAATGCAATACCCAGTGCACTCCTGAACTTCCCTGCTCGAACAGGGTCAAGAGGACCAGATACATCTTCACGAATTAGCTCTGGAAGATATGGTGTGTTATGCTTCGATCCGTGCTTGACATCAAGTACTTCGGCCATGTGTCGTATGTAGCTGCTCGAAGCTTCCACTAAAATCCCAGATTCCAAAATAGTGTGCTTTCTCTTCAAGAAAGAAAAGACATCTCCATTCTTGTACGCAATCTCTACCGAGATCTCGAAACGCGATTGCAATGTAGGGATGTACTTCTGCTTGAGCCATGTCAAGGGAGCAAGCGTAAGACCATCGTCGACATGCATGATCATCGGGCCCTCGGGCACACGCATGATTGCCGGGTTCTCAACACAAGACTCAAGGGCATCGAACTTGTCGGTCAAAAACTGTACGAAATATCCAAACCATCTTTGTGCACCATCTCTCTGTCCAGGCACACACTTCTCAAAGACATATTGTCCTTGAAGCATGCAATCTTTGGGTAGATCAGCGACAACGGGCTCTTCCTGAGGCACCTCTAAATAGGCGTCTTTGACGTCTATAGCACATATTGCGTATTGCTCTTGCCTCGTCGCTCTCCACAAAGGAAAAGGATCGGAATGAGTTTCACCATATTTGTCGTGGTACTTGGGGAAAATAGCCCTTGTTTCTCCTCAAGCCACTTGTACTCCCTTGCCACTAGTCTGGATCTTCGGAGATACTGTGACATCCCATTCCTCTTCTTCTGCCGCCAAGTCCTGACCATTTTGGTCGAGAGACTCTTCATCGATGAAACGTTGTCCTTCTCGGACGACGGGCGCAACACACCCTTCTGTATCAGCCTATTCACTTCCACAGCATCAGCGATCCTGTCAAGTTCGAACAAATCTGACTCTGAAAGCTTCGGTTCACAACCATTGTCTGGAAACCATAGAGCACTGGCATCAACGCTCTGCCCCGCCTCGTCCTTCATTGCCGAGTCGGGTTCGGTGCCCGAACACTTGTCGTAATCGGGGTCCACAAACTCGAAGTCGGACCAATCTGCATCCACAAACTCAAAGGGCTCGTCATTAAGATCATAGTCCTTGTTGCCAAAAGAAACGGTTCGGATTCTCGGAACTTTTGAAGCACGTTCTTCAAGAACATCACTGGCCTCATCAGTCTCCATAGCAGTGCCTGATGGCACCACTGGACTTGTGAGTGGAAGCAGGTCTTCCACGAATGTTGCAGGAGGCACATGTGGCCTTTGTGAAGGATTTGGAAGCTCAGGTCCCGGTGTTGGAACACTTTCGGGCACCCTGGAGCTTGGCGGTGGCGGACGACTGAAAGGCACTTTAGGGGCTTCGGGGTCCACACTACCTCCCACGGGTGTTGGAGGCAATGCTTCGGCAGGGGTTCCAAGGTTAGGGCCTACGTCTGACCCCATGGCAGGAGTCAACCCCATCGGAACTGGCGTCTCAGGTGGATCTGAAGCTGCAACGTCTTGCGGGCTGCTTGGCGCAGGCAAGGCCTTTCTCGTCTTGGCAGGGGGAACCATCTTAGTTCCTATGACCCCGCTACTGTAGTTCCAAGGAAAACCCTTAATATCGGCATACAAAGCAGCATCATGCTTCCACTCTTGACCTGTGCGTCTCACCGATCGAGTGACTCGAACACCACCTTTGCTTGCAACCACATACATGTCGTTCAGACTAGTCTTGGTCAAGAAAATCGCCTTCAGCCATTTTGGGTCTCCTTTCTTCTTTGCATGAACTTGTGCAAACACTGGTTCGCCATATGCAACAAGCTTGCCGGTATAAGCAGCATTGCAAGTACGCTCATACGCTGTGAGTCCGCCTGCCACTGCGAACCTGTTCCTGACCCATGCAGCATGCACAAAAGACCATGCGAAGAGAGGATGCACAACATCGATCTTGCATCCAGTCTTATGTCTCACCATGTCCAAGAGAGTGCACGCCAACCTTCGGATCAGGTCTACCGCTTTCTCAACATACCCGTTGGCTTGGTGGTGGCCAACAGGAGGATTCCTTTCAACCGTCTTCAATCCCAGCCTCTGTCTCGCATTCACCACAGCACGCTGCAACGAAAGTGTAGCTGGTTCAGCATCACACCTCAACTCCACTGTCGCATGACCCAAGGATTGAATGAACCTCATCAGCTCAACCCCAAGGTATCGCGTGCTGCCTTTGCTCTCACAGGGTATTGCCGTGATGGCACCAGTGGCGGAATCGTGCGCGATCAGACAGCAAAGTAGGTCCTTGGCACTTGAAGAAGGTTCACCTGCTACAGGCTCAAGCTCGTTCGAGGAAGGACTGAACCCGGTATAGCAGAAATCGAAAGAGACGCTCGGGAGGTCTCGTGGTGCGGCATTTGTAGCCTCTGATCTGTCCGGAACAGATCGCATGGTGATGCAGTGGCTGCACCACGCCGCGTATGGCGTGTGAGTAAGCTCGTGAATGAGCTGTTGCTCTCTGGACGGAACATCGGGGATTGATTGCATGTGGGGCAATCGAGCAGCTCCCTCGGGCGATGTCTGAGGCAAGTGACAGCTTTTGCTTCTCAAGGTAACCCTTTATCCTCTGAAACAGCCTAGTCTTAGAACCGGAAGTTCTCAAACCCAACTTAGTGCAGGCTGCTTTCAGGGCACCAATCGAACTCTCACAGTTGAGCACAACGCCATCAAGGGTGAGCGTGTCAGCAGGCTCAGCAACGGGATTGCTAAGAGGCTCTTCCATGTCGGACAACGCACCTCGGGACGCAAGCTCTTCACGAATGATCACACCTGCATCGGGCTCATCAACTGGCGACGGTTCATAATCGAACAACTCATCCTCATCGTACGGAAGTTCTGGGGTCTTGGGAGATGGAACTACATCCTCAACCAGGCTCTCAGTGAGATTTTCAACTCCGAGCGAAGACATGGGTTCCTTGCTCACATGCATGCAAACGATCAACTCAGCCTCTCCACCTCCTGGGATGTCATCTTCAAGATCTTCCATCTCCAACCACGACTCACAGTGTTCGATCAAAAACCAAGCTGAGGTTTCACTTCGTCTCATCAAGGTGGAACGCAAGGGCCAGCTTCGATCAACCATAAAGGATGGGTCTAACATGCGTGACGAACGACCCCGCCAGTGCGCGTCAACTTGGCTGCTGCGTCCAAAGAAGCCAAGAACATCACTGCGGTGGTCGTTGCACGTCCTGTCAAGCCTGGACTCAGGCTGCCTTTCGTTGGTCCGGTTACCCGGAACAAGCCCAGGACGGGATTGTGGTTGTGCCGTTGCTTCGGCATTAACTTCTACATTGCCTTATGCGGGGACACCATATCCGGCGATTTTGTCATCCCGGCTTGGACTTGCAAGAATGTGCAAAAGCCGGATCAGGCATTCTTTGAGCAAGAGAGTGTCACTCGCACGGTCTTCATGTCTGCACGTTCCACCAGCTTGGCCTCAGTGAAGCTGCATGTGCAAAACCCACGCACCTCCGACATGGACGTTGTTGAGAATGTGGACGACGATGTGAAGGTGTGTTAACTCAAGTTGTCTTTGCATCACCTACAGCCATGTCACGACATAGAGGCCAAGTTAGATCAGGAAGTCGTCCGAGCCAAGGAGAGAGCCGAGAAGACTGCTGCCCGCTTTGTGCTGGCTGAGGTCAAGGCAAAGGCAAAGGCCAAGTCCAAGGCCAAGGGGAAGGCCAAAGCCAAGTCAGCCAACGCAGGCCGAGGCAGAGGTCGTGGCAGGTCGGCACGTGGTAGTAAGCGCAAACGTGGATCCGACTTGGATGATGATGTGGATCTCGATGAGGACACCTTGTGTTTTTTTGATTGACTCAACGCATACTCATGCATCAGTGCAGGCACATGCCTGCCATAGTTGTTTTGCGGTGATACACGTGAGGCTTCATGCTTGTTGATTTGGTTGACTCGGCTCATGTGTCCTGCCGCATGAGTTCATGAGAATGTCATGACATTGTCATCTTGGCACTGTTTGTAGGCTGGTCGTTTTGTGCCTGCGCATGCTGCACAGGTCGTCTGACACGTGCGGCAATCATGTGGCATGTGCACTGACAAAGTTTGATTGTGTCATCGCATGCCACTACATGAGTAGCATTGGCTTATCTTTATGCAGCGCTGGGCGAGTGCTAGGAGATGGATGCTGACGCCGCTGTGAGTGAGGACGATGCAGCAGCCGAAGATGATTGGGATGTTAAGATGAAGAAAGCAGAAGCGCAGCAAGCAAAGGTGGATGAGATTGTGCAGGACGCGCTGGCCAAGTGCGTAAAGCCATCCCATGTGCCGATCACCAAGATGGTTACGGGGTCAGCGAAAGCTGCCAAGAACAGCCGCGCCATGCTTTTGGAGCAGGTGCAGAAGGAGAAAGATGCTGCCGAGAAGAATGAGAAGGCAAACTTGCCGGACAAGTCTGGCGCGGGTGTCCTGGGGTTGCAGGCTGCAATCAACACGCATGCTCGCATGGGTACCATCGTAAAGGCCCAAAAGCTCGAGAAGGATTCCTCTGAGGCCCAGGATGTGATCAAGATGGGTAAGCACATGCTCAAGTAAATGCCTCAGTCCGACGGGTGATCAAGATTCGCCATGTTCAAGATTGGAAAGCACATGTCGCATGCTCGAATGGATGCCGTGCAATATGTGTGCTGACTTCAGTGCTGAATGCAATTGTGGGCCCTCACGTAACCACGACACGTCATGACACACGTCGTCACCATGTCCCGCCGTGATGGGCGGGCCGTCATGACGTTATGCATGTCCTTGTGGCAACTCTTCCGGCGTAGCCCCTTGCACAGTAGGCGTGTCACTGTTATTTGTTGGCCCATGCTGTTACGCCACGAGCCCGGACCCTAACACCTTGAACTAGAACTTGAAGCCTGGACCTAAAACCTGGAATGTTAAATCAAATTCCCCAGTAAACAAACCGATGAATTAAAACACTAGTCGTAAACTCCGATACACCCTGATTTCAGGGCCAACAATCTGACAGCTGGCACGCAATGCGCTGCGTGTACTGCTTCTGTCAGTCAGTAGGCAGTGGCAGGTGAACTCTCGACACAGGAGCTGGGGGACGAGTGCATATGCAGGCATGCATCCACTCTACCCTAGCTCCGACCACTGCTTTTGTCACCGCTGCTATTGCTGATGCTGACACTGCCTTGGCCCTCTGCCGACCAACTCCCTTTGCAGACGGCCCGTTGCAGTAAAAAAAGAATCTGACTGCAATTCTTTGTGTGTCAGTGCATCCATGTGTGCATGCATGTGCGTTCTCTGGCTGTCGGTGTCGACCATTGAAATTCCGTCGGCGCTGGTTGCATCCTTCTACACTCTGAGGGATCACTGGGCCATGTTTTCTTAAGCTCTTATTGATGAATCATGAGTCTTGCTGGATCGGAATGCGAACGATTCCCATCGTACATGCGATATAGCTAAATGACAGGCTAAAGGGTACTGCTTGGACGCATGTTGTCTACTGCCTACAGTATCAGGGAGCGGGGGCCGATGACGGAGCTACTAAATACCTAACGGCTCTGCTGGGTCAAGCGGTTCGATTCTCCCCCCCACCAAGAGGTAGCAAGACACCGCTCGATGCCCCCCATGAGCATGCAGCTGGCATCAGTTGGTGGATCAGTCCCAAAGCCCTCCTTCCAGTACGCCTGGCAGCCGAAGCGCGACCACTCTTTCTAAAGCTTGCAACTTAACCGAGAGATCATTCCGACAAAAAACAAAGAAAACATTGAGCAAAAGCAAGAGAAAAATTCTGTTCAGACGGGCAAAGGCAATTTAAACTGAAAAAAATGCTAACATTGAAAAAAACAATCACACTGACCTCTCCTCATTCATGGCCAGAACGACTTGAGAGTCGTCCAGCCTCGATTTCCATTCCATTCGACTTTTTTTGACAAAGCTTCGATTGCGTTCTGTTGTCTTTGATTTTCCAAAATGGCCAAACAGAAATTCAAGGCACACTGAAATTAGACAGAAGATTGAGCAGAAGAAATGTTTTCTTTCAGGCTGGGTGCCCTCAATTCTTTGTCTTTCGTTTTTGGTTGCGTGTTGCAATTCTTCCCTGGATTCAGCACCATTCAACGAATTTTCAAAATTTCTGAAGTCTCCGAAAATGTTGAAAAAACCCTCAAAATCAACACTTGATCAGTTAAATTTGTTGAATTTACTCTGGTGTTTCGCTCGCTTCGCTCGCACTTATTCACATTCTGGTAATACACTTTGCAATTTTCAAGTGGCTTGGCTTGGGCGTCGCACGCAACCTTAACGAATCAACACCACGGTTGAACTCGTCTCGTCCTGCAGTTGATGTCTGTCCAAACGGCACTGTCAGAGGCTTTTAAAAACACTTGTTTCAAAGCATTGAACTTTTCCAAGCTGCAGTTTCCACCGATGTTGACTCTGCACCCTTCTTTTCTCCTCTTCTGCCTTCAGGCCTTGCACCAAAACCTGGAGAATCTGAAACCCAAGATGAGGGGCAGCAAAATTGATCGAAAAGGTAGGGAAGCTCCAGTGACCTCCACAGTTAGAGAAAGTTCCGGTGCCAAACAAGTTCACACTTTGCCGCCTTGCTGCCTGCTGTTCTAATTTTGGGGGAAGACTGACACAAGACTTAGACTGGAACCGACTGAGAGGCTTATTTGTTTTACTCGCAACGAGGAGCTGTGAAAGCCAGATCTGGCTTCCCGTGTGTGAAAAAAACGCCGCAACTGGGCCCAAAAATGGCTCCTAAACTTGGGTTCCAATTTGAGGCTCCAACCTGGGTGGCCTTGTATGTTCACACAGGAAATCCAAAATCTAGGGCCCGTTTTCAGTGCCCAGAATTGAGCTGCTTTTGGAACCCATTTGAGTTCAATAATAATTGAAATCAACTCACAGACAAACAAGATTTTTTCTATTCGATACTGTTTGCATCAACACTCAAGAAAACAAAAAACGCCGTCGATACGCGTGTTCTTGGCTTTGCTAAACTTGTCTTTAGCTGGCATTCACGACAAAGCACTCTTGCATTGTTCGCATGCGATCTTTCTCGCACTGTGGAGGTCACTTCGGCTTCCCTACCTTTTGGAGTTGATTTCTTGCCCTCTTTTTGTGTCTCCAAATCCACTGCATTGTTCGCGTGCGATCTTTCTCGCACTGTGGAGGTCACTTCGGCTTCCCTACCTTTTGGAGTTGATTTCTTGCCCTCTTTTTGTGTCTCCAAATCCACACACCTTTCACCACCCGCACACTTCCACACTTGAACAGCCAGCAGAACCCAGCTAAAGCCACTTTGCACCCACATAATGACACACACCACACTCCATGACACACACGACTCTCTGCCAAAACGCCGAAAACCACAACACACCACTCAATCTTAAGTTCTGATTGCAATTTTTCACTGTCTTTCTGGTCAATCGACAGATTACCGGGGACAGCACCAAAACACTTGCTGAACGATCTGTTTGTGTTTTGGTTCAGGGCGGTTTCTCGAAACTCTCTCTTTCTAAAGCTTGCAACTCAACTGAGAGATCATTCCGACAAAAAACAAAGAAAACACAAAGCAAAAGCAAGAGAAAAATTCTGTTCAGACGGGCAAAGGCAATTTGAACTGAAAAAAAAACAAAAAGTGTTGCTGTGCATGAATCTGCTGCTGAATCTGAAGAAAGTTGTCTAAGTTTCATAACTCTGGCTTCTTTCAAGTATTTTCTTGATTTCTCCAAAGTTCAAAAAAAAAACAATGTTTTTGCAGTTCTTGCTAACATTGAAAAAAAACAATCACACTGACCTCTCCTCATTCATGGCCAGAGTGTGTAGTATAGGGAGATCTTATGAACCAAATAACTTTTTTCGCCCAAAACGCTCCAAAAACGGCTCTGAGTAAGAAGGGGTGTAAGAAGAAGGCGTTCATTGCTGGAAAAAAACGTTCAAATTGGCTCGAAAACAACACCTTCAACCTGAGCAGGTTTATGGTTGTTTTAAAGCGAAAAAACGCTCAACTTCGCTGCAAAACAGCTTCTTCTTGTTTTTTAAAAAAAACGGTCCATTAATGATTCAAGAATGACTCAACAATGATTCAAGATGATTCAACAATGATTCAAGATGACTTAAACA